TTTCTTTATCAGAAATTTGAGTTTGCGGCTCACCTTCGTGCGCACCCAGAGGCTGCCGTCTCATGGGTCGTGCTCTGAATGGTGTAGCAGCAGCCAAGGCACTCGGGTTTTCTGTGACTGCAATGGAATAGTCAGCATGATTCAATTGGGCCAAGCAAAAAAGCACTTTCCATTTCATATACCATGACGACCCGTACCTGAAATATGTGCTGCCGCCTCCGCCAACGTGGAAACGTGTCCTTCCTGAGAACGCTCTCTCCAGGCCCGACATGGTTTTTCCTGAAGATTCTTGCTTTCTGAGGTGGGTTTTAGCGCAACAGCACATCAAGCAGCATGCGAAGCGGGGCAGCTACATATCTGTCAAGTGCAACCCATATCTGCTCTACAGTATGCGGTCTATCCTCTCTCTTGATGAAGACTGTGCCATGTTGCGGTTGCAGGATGATAATCGGCTGGGAGACGATTTTTATCAAGCAGAGCAGCCTAGGCACCCAAAGGCGCTGCTGGCATGCCCAGGGCATCAGCGGGTGTCCTTGAAAGCATTCCTGGAGGGCGCCGGGGATGTCGCTGAAAAGGTCATATTTTTTCGCTGATGCATACGAAGTCCCAAAGGTATCACAGAATAAAAATGGTGTCTGAGACATCTCTGAAGAACAGCTGCTTTATCCAGCTCCATGATATCTTGGCAATGAGGCCTGATAAGAAAGAAGTCCTTGTGTCCTTGTAGGGTATTGTATTGGGACAGAGCGCAACAGATAAATGCGAGGATGCCCCTTTGGCCCTCCATATGGCTCACTTGGACTTGGCTTCCGAAAGGGATATGGCTGTGGGAAGTGGATGCTCTTCGATAACAACGTAAGATATTGCTCGTCCCCCCCGGCACAATTAGAGCCTCCCCTGAATATCGTCACGGATCGCCAGCCCAGATCCGACGACGGGCGTCAACAACGCTATCGGTACCAACTACAAATAGCACAAGTGATAGAAATATTGAGCGAGAATGCAAGCTCAGTTAAAGGCCCTATGTTCAGAGACCAAAGAAGCACCTTAGGTGCTGGATATACTGCAGCTGTTGTTGTTGTAGATGAAAAACGACATCAGCTTGGACTCCCGAAAGAGCAGCTAGACGCCAACGCCACCCTTAGCAGCTTCACGCCGATTGACGCCGCTGCTGCCTGATCATGCGATCATGCCAGTCCTGCGTAGCTGCTCGCTGAGCTGCCACAGCATCCCGCGCCCACTCAAACCTCTCGTCAGCGGCACGAGCCGCGTGAGCCACTGCTTGACTGCAAGGCTGCAGAGCCGAGCCAGCAGCAGCGTCTGCCCGCCCATTAAGAGCTCGACAAGCGTCGGCACCAATCCAGCCTGAGGGAGGCGTCCACGAGGCCTGCTTGTTGTGAGCCGGAACCCATGCTACTTGCAGCCAGCGCACCGCCTTTGCCACACGCTTCCACGGCCTCCAAGGGTCACCATTTTCGCACGCGGCCTCACCGCCAAGCAACCTGCCAGCGACAGCTTGGTTGTCCACGAGAAGTCGCAGCCACCGTCCGTGAAGAAGGAGCGCTTCAGCCAGTATGAAAACTGCAACGCGCTCACCTTCCGCCGCCGTCTGGTCCGATCCTTCAACAAGGCCTCCAAAGGATTTGTCTGCAAAAGCGACGGCCCAGGAAGCCTGCTGAAAACCTTCCGCCTTTCTCGCAAGGAGGCAACCACCGTCAGTTGCCACGTAGTGGAAGAGGTCGCAGTCAAGCTCGCTCAAGTACTCTGCCACCTCACCGACCTGCACGCTGTAATCCGCAAGCGGGCGCCGGGGAGGTAGAGGGCGAAGCGCCGCCAAGAACCGCCGCTCCAGCAAAGTCAGCCGCGCAGAGCTCCACGTAGCTTGAGGACACTCAAAGGTCAAGTGCGTCGTGGTAGGGCCTGCAAAGCCACAAGTGCAAACCAAGTCCTGCACGTTCCCGTCTTTAGGCGTCAAGCTCCTCGCGTCAGAAGCTGCACCAACCATGACGCGCAGCGGGTAGGTTTGGGCCACGTCACGCGTTTTGACTTGGTAATTCAAGTCAAAGTCGCCGTCAAAGCCACCAGCCTGCTTGCCCTTGTTATCTTGCAAGAAGAGCTTGCGCGCACCGTCCTGACGCATGAGCCGTCGCAGGGCAGGAGCACCGACGTCGCCCGCCTGAAAGGAGCCATGGCGAGTGTGCCAAACACCTGCGTCGTCACGAGTCACGAGTCCAGCCAAAGTACTTCAAAGCAGCTTTGGTCTGAGGAGCCTCGCGCGGATGCCGCCCAAGCTGTAGTCTGCGGTGTTCACGTAGAACTGCAGCCTCCGCGTTGACGAAAGCCGGGAAGAGCTCAAGCCCCAGCACAGCTGCCCAAGCCAGAGTAGGCGAACGGCCTCTGGGTATGCTGCTACCCCAGGCCGCTCGCTCGATGGCACCAGTCCAGGCCTGTAGGTCCTTCTTGTACTGTCGAAGCCAAGGCGCGGCCCAACGGAAAAGAGGAACTACCAGAAGCCGAAGAAGCGCGCAACGAAGACTCCTGGATTGCCCGCACAGTTGGATGCGCTTGCACCTCGCCTTGAGAACCTTGCCAACGGTGCCAGCAGCGATCGGAGAGGCCGCCGTGGTGTTGTAAGGAAGACCCAAAAGCCGAAACGTCTGCTGCGGAATGCCCACCTCGTCAGCTGCAGCCAACAAATCTTCTCTCACAGGCTGTGAAGTGCCAAAGCTCTCCAACTTAGCCGGATGCAGTTCGAAGCCTAAAGCCTGGTCTGCTTCCCTTCCCGCCACCATTGCCGCCCGCACAGCTCTGGCCGCACCACGGCGCTTTCGCACCCAGATGGCCCTGTCGTCAAGAAAAACCGACAAAGTACAGCCTGTATCAGCTTTCTTCACCGCCGCCAGCCACACTGTCATCATGCTGTTGAGGCAAAGAGGAGAAAGCGCCTGGCACAGGCCCCCTCCACCATGAGCCAGCGCTCGTGAAGCTGGTAGAAGCGCTCGATGACAGTGAGCACGTTCTCAGGAGCCCCTAAACGTCGCATGCACTGCACTGCCAGCTTGGGGTCCGCAGAGTCAAAGCACTTCTTGACGTCTGCCTTACAGCCCGCAAGAGGCCCGCCACCACGTTGCAGGAAGAGAGCGTTGGAAAGAGCAGCATGAACGTCATTAATTCCTCTGTGCGGCATGCCACCAAACAGCTCTGCAGGAAAAACTTCGTGCACCCAACCGGTGAGCTGCCGAACCAGGCAAGTCGCGCCCAGCCTCCAAGCTAGCGCAGCGATGGCAAGAGGGCGCAGGCCACCATCATCCTTCGGAATGAGGCATACGCGTACCTGCACCCACCCGGCCGGCAGCGGGGCCCCATCAAGCACTGCGTTCCACACCGCCGCGAGGAGGTCGAAGAAAGCCTTCGGTAAAGCCTTCCAGAGGCTCCCAGTCCAGCCGTCAAGGCCAGCTGCTTTGCGCGCCGCCGCCTTTGCCAGCCGCAAGAGCGCGGAACCGTTCACAGTAGGAGCCTGCGCCGGCCGAGCCTCCGGAAAGTCCAGGTCGTTGAGCAGCTGCTGCAGTGCTTGCCCGTCAGGTCGAGCGTCGCGGTGCCAGCGCTTCTTCCACTCCACAGTGGCGTGCTCCGCCCTCGCCTGCGGGTCCGGGTCCACGCCAAAGTCTTCGAAGCTGCTTGGAGCCTGCACTTGAGACGCCTTAATCCAGCGGGAAAGCCGGGGAACGTCCGTCTTGACAGCCTCATGCCACTTGTCCAGACGCGCCTCGTTGGCACGCCGCGCTTCCGCCTCCGCCGCCTGCTGCAAGTAGAGGAGCATGGCCTCGCCGTGTAGGTTCAACGCCTCTGCAAAGTCAGGGTAGACGTCCACCACGTGGCGAACGTAGTTCACCAGGTTGCGGTAGAGCTCCAAGTTGCCCGGCTACCGAATGGCCTCATGAGCCTTGCGAGCTGCGCGCCGCAGCTTCCGTTCACAAAGCGTCTGGACGTCGGGCACCCTGCCGCGGTGCGCCTCCGCCTTCACCGGCCTGCCAGGCTCGCCCCGTGGCCGTGCCGGCCTGCTGCCCTCCGCCGCCAGCGCCTGCTCCGCCACGTAGGAGAGAAGTCGCCAAGCTGAGTCCGTGTCTGCGTTGCCAAGGAAAGCCCAGAAGCGCTCGTCGTGAGGGGCCCAATAGCTGTCCCAGTCCACCGTCGCGTTCGCGTCCAAAGCTCGTTGCGGTTGCCAACGCCAGCCACGTCTGCCACTCTGTAGTCCAACGTCGTAGGTCACGAGGTCGTGGTCTGCAGGGCCGAGGAGTTGAGCTCGGCCGTCCACCGCCAAGCTCGCAGAGGAGAGCCCGAAGTCCAAAAGCCTGCCCGTGTACGTGCCGTCCGCGCGTCTGTGAGTGCCCTGGATCTCGAAGAACGGGTCGTTGTCCATGGTATAGACAAGGCCGCCCGCCAAAAGGTTGCAGAAAGGCTGCTGGTTAGGAGTTCGGTTCCAGTCCGCCATGAACACAAAGTCTTCGCCGGTAGTGCTTGCCCATTGTAGCACCGTTGAGGCGATGTGCTGGTTGAGCTCGTCGTCATTGGCAGGCAGGTAGCCGCAGATGACGAGGAGTGGCCGCTGGTTGGGGCGGTGGGCCTTTACCGCCATAATGCGAGTGTTGAAGCTCTCCGCCACAGGGACCGTCGCCATCTCCACCGGCCAGTCGGAAACGATAGCCACACCACCACAGGCCTTGCCCTCGGAGTCGTAGGCGAGAGGGCCAGGTAGAAGACGCCAGCCCTTCGCGTGAAAAGCTTGCCTCATTGCGTGGAGACCCTCCGTCGTGAGCTTGGTCTCTTGAAGGCAAAGGACATTGACTGCCGCGTTAGCCGCCATATCCATCACTGCCCCCATTTTGCCCGTCAAAGAGCGCACGTTGCAAGTACCCACACGCAGCTTGGGAGACTCAGGCATGTTGCCCCAATCCCCTCGCCAGCTCGTTGACAGCAGCTTGGTCCTCCGCCGTGCCCCCTCCGTTCTCGCCGATCAACTTCAAGACCGTCGTTGCCGCATCGCCCGCAATGCCCCCGTCCTTCTGGATGCCCTTGAGCTCCGCAACCTTGGCCCGGATGGCTCGCCGCTTGCTCGGCTTGCAGTCCTTGCCCTCCACGTCGCGCTGCCGCGTCCAGGAGCCGCCACACGTCTTGCAGACAAAGCGGACCTCGAAGCGACCTCCCACCAACGGCCATGCCACAGCGCACAGCGCGTGCTTTGCAACAGGGCCCTCGTCCGTCTCTTCCAGCAACTTCAAAAGGTAGCGGGCGTCGGACTGCACGCTTTCGTCGAATGAGCCCTCCTCCAGTGTCGTTCGCAGCCGCTTGAGAAGAGCGGGGCGCTTCGCACCAGCAGTGTGCGCCTTGCACGAAAAACCACCAAGCGCCACCACCGTAGCAGCCAGGCGTTTGCACCGCGTGCACACGACTTGCGTCACAGCCCTCCTCGTCTTGCCCTTCTTGGTCCCCCTCGTCGGCGGCAGCTTCACGAACACGACGTCGTGCTCTCCAGCCTTGCCAGCGCGAACTTGGTGAAGACGCCGAGCAACCCCTGCACTGAGCTTGGCAGTCGTAGCCTTCCGAGCGTTTGCGACCCTGTCTCGTGCCAGGCGGAAAAGGGCTTTAGGGGCCTCCGGGTGAGTCTCCTCTCTGTGTCGCAGTCGGGCCAGCCTCCTCGCGTCCTTGGAAGCTTCTGTAGCCGGCAAGCCCATATCGCATCCATCAACTGGACACTTCCAACAGCAGGTTGCTTGGTTGTAAGGGACCACATACAGCGCCGCAGTCTTCAGGTTGAGTTCCGCCTTGAGGTCAGGGTGGTAGTTGTCCACGTGGGCTTGCTTTCGCTGCACCCAAAGCCTGCCCGTAGCCTTCCAACCACACTCCGGGCACTTCCAGCCGGAGCACGCAGACTTCACACACCGCTTGCGCCCTTGCGGCGCCACAGGATCCGGAGGCTCAGGCACCTCCTCTACGGCAGCTTGCTCCTCGGTGGTGGAGCCCAGGGAAGAGGTAGCCGTCGTCCGCTGCCCTGTCAAAGCCTCAGTGCCCGCCTTCCTCGCTGCAAACAGGTAGCTGCGGATGTCTTTCGGCCTCGCGGTGAAGCACGTAGCTTCCGAAGCTTCCCTGCTCACTTCGCCACTGCCAGAAGCTCGCGCCTTGCCCGAACACTGCGCCCTCCTCGTCGGAACGTGCGTAAAGACAGTGGACTCCGCCGCCTCCTGCTTTGCCACGACCACCTCGGTGAAGACCGTCTTCTCGGAGAAGTCGTCGCCACCAGCACCCTGGGAACCGCCGCCACGAGGAAAGTCGGTGACGTGGCCCTCAGCGTGGCCCATGCACAGCGCGTCAGGCAAGGTATTGCCTTCAACGGGGCACAACCAATCGAAATGCCCTGGGTTCTCAGTAAACCAAAGAGCGATGCGATCACGAGCGCTGGTGTTGTATGCAGCCTTAGCAAGCCGCATCGGCGCTGGGATGATATGAACCGCAACTTTGTAAGCCTTGGAGGCCCCGTAGGCTTCAAGGCTGCCTGCCGAAGACGATGCGCATGGTAGTCGTGGCTTCGCCTGTGGGAACGGCCTTGGCAGCAGCAGGCGCATGCTTCAACGTGGGCAATGGCGTGCCGGGCGTAAGGAAATCGATATAGGAAAAATGATGAATGCGAACATCGTTACCGTCCTTGCCCTCCCCAACAATGGGGAGCTTGAGCTTGCCCTCGGAGTCTGCCCAGACCAATCTGGCTGAGCACTTGGCACCCGCACCTGTAAGCATCATTATCAATGCATCGGCCTGTTCCGCATCCCGTACTTGAACTAACACGGAGCCGTTCAAACTGTTCAGCTGTGAAGCTGCCTTGTCGTAGGAAAAGATTGCGCCATTCCAGTCACGGTCACGAAGCTGAGGGCGAGCGGGCGCAACCGTGGAAGTCTTCGCAGACTTTCCCTGTCCTTTGGGTGTCTGTGGAGCTCCTTTGCCTTTCCCTTTGCCAGGAGAAGCGCCTGCCCCGCTCACCACAGCCGTATAGCTGTTGACCTTTCCGCCGCCTTTGGTAGGACCCGGCTCGGGATCTGGCTTCTGGCGCCCCCGGCGGCGAACAATCTGAAACCCATCACTGTCGATCTGGATGGTATTGCCACCCCCTGCATCAAAGGACACCCGTCTGGGAGGCGGCTCAACCTCATCAGTGGCCCCACCGGTCATGGTCGCCATCAGGTTTTGAATGCCCGACAGCTATGACTTGATCGCCGGGTTATCCCCAGCAAGAGCCGCAACCATTGACAAAAGAAGCTGGATGATCGTCTGCAAAGCATCCTGAGTCATCTGCTCCCGCCTCTTGTTTGCTGTCGCCGAAGCAGCACCCGGTCCTGGATTAGCAGCTTCGCCGATGCGGACACCCAACAGGCTTGAGTGCGGTCGGTGTCGCCACCAGGAGAATCCAGCGACTAAGTAGAAAAGAAAGGCCCTCACGTAAACACACTGAAAGGATTCAAGGCTGGCAGTGGCCTCGAGTTGATTCTGGTTGCTCCCAGCTGTGACCCATCGCATGACGTACAACCTCAGGCAACGGTCACCCTGGCCAACCTGCAGTGGAGGTGAGTGCTCCTGACCAGCCTTTGCAAGCTGATCCCCTCCAGGCCTCATGCAAATGGAAAGCCAGCCTGTCAACATAGCATTGAAAAACATCCCAAGGAAAAGTAGCCCACAGCTCCATAGCCAACATCTGCCACCATTCTGTGGCGCTCTAAGCGCCTCACCCTGCAGACACTTCGCGGGCCCGTGGAGCGCAAAACGGGCCTCCGCAGCAGCCAAGGACTTGTCCAGGGGGCGGTCTGCGTTGCCGCGGATATACTGCAGCTGCAATACGCACGTTCATATATCCGTACGATTTTCAATAGGATCGTAATCCAATCTATCATAACGACTATAGAAAAGAAATCTTTCATATAGCCTAACTCCGATATCTGACCTACGAGGATCCCAGCAGCAAGCCAAATTGTCATGTTGGTCATGCTACGACTCTATTATATGAGTCAATCGGAAAATTTGAGGTATATATATGCAGATAGGTCCAAATAATCAATTCCCAACCAAAAATAATTCTTTAGCCTCCATTCAGCTATAGACTATAATCCTAAAGAAGAGAAAATCCTGGAAAATCATATGGTCTAACCCGAAATAATCATGTTGAATTGACTCCATATCATCTTTAAAATCAAAGATAAATAGACGGACTTCCAAAGTATCACACGACTAGAGGCAATCTTCAATCTATATATATCAGCAATCTCCCTCAACTGGACTAGAATGAGTCCACATGATGCTATATTTCCCACCAAATATTCCCATTTATCTCTATCTCTCCATTTATATCGATCATAGAAAATTCCACGCTCCTACGATAAGGCTCCTAAACCCCAACAATGCGAAGACCTGCATCGACCCAGGCTCCCCCAGCATTTTCTCGCCGACCCGCCCCCGCCCCGCCCTTCCCGCCCAAAACCATCATGAATGACACTTCCCCACCTCCGACTCTGCGAACCACCACTTCGATTGATTACGATATAATATCTTCAATGCCACGCTACGTGATTTCCTATATTATTTCTTCTTTTATAGCCTATACCAGGAATACAAGAATCAATATCAAAAGACGGAAATATCGTTTGCACGTCACCTTAACGATATATCTCAAGATTCCAAACGCGCCAAGCCCAATAGATCATCAATCTTGCTTTTTGCAGCACCTCCTACAGCCGCAGAGACGAAGACGCTGGGATGCCCGATATTTTTCATTTAGTAATGAAATCTTGATGATATCTCCCGAATATGGAGCGAAGAATACGATTGAGATCAATAATCGATTCTACGATCTATTATTCGTCTCGGATATTCCCCCATATCCTAGTCCCTCGTAGAAAAATTCTCGACCATATCGATATTTTAAATATTTCGGGCGACATAATATTTTATTGATTTTCATAATCTATCCTGGGCATCATAATGAATTCTGGGCGTTAATTTGTCGTATATATTATAAATGACATTAATGATTTCCATTGCGATCTATCATTCGTCTCGATTCTTTTATATCTCATCTTGGCCCCTCGCAGAAAAATATCGGTCACGCCGGCATTTATGATATTTCGGGCCAAGATAGATTATAAAAATCAGGAGAAACTATATATCGAACGTTTGCCTTGCGCTGCCAAAATGCCGAATTTAATAATAGATATTCTTGACGACGCCAATAAATATCAATATCTTTTTGCCATTTATATTGATTTTTACGTTCGTTTTCGATCATTGACGATAGACGTATAAAAATATATATCGATTATAATGATTTTTTATATATCCAAGAAATTATCGTGAGATGCGCACCGATCGATATATCGTTTATATGACCTTAGACAAGATATCTTCGATGAAAATATCGACGAACGTTCATTTATACGATTTCTCCCCAAATATCAACGATATCATTAGAAATAGAAAAAGTGGATACGCGTAGAAGAAATCGACCCCGCCAATAATATTTTCGGAGTTTAAGGGCGAAATATATCATAAAAATAAATATATCCGATAATTTCTGCGATCCACCATTTCTACTACTTAGCATAATATAACTCAATCTTATTAATGAATAATACTAGGTCATATAATATATCGAAGCTTATCGATCATATCATTATTTTCGATATTCAAAATCAATATATACCTTAATAAATAAAAGACTAATATATCGCACAGACCCTATTAGAAGTTTCGACGTATCATTCCAAGATGAATTAAAAAAAAAAATATATATATATCGATCATGCCCATATACTAATATAATCGAAAGCTTCTATTACAGAAAAAAAATATGTATTTTTGATTTATATATATTCATTATTAAATCTATTCTCGAATATTGACGATAGTCGTATGAGAATCAATATATCATTTATATTAATTATTATTCATATCTTAAACATTATCCATAAGATACACGAATATCTATATGCCTTTTATATTATGTCAGATAAGATATCTTCGACGAAATTCTCGATACATATTTATTACGCCAATATTTACGCCTATCATAGGATATCTCAATCTCATTCATAGATTATAGTAAATCATTTCTCGAAGAAATCGATCATATGATTATTTTCGATACTTAAAATCAAAATATATCATGAAAAACGAGACGAATAAAATATCAGGTCCCGACTACGTTTTCGACATCTCGATCCAAAATATACTAGAAAAATCAACAATAAATCGATCATGGCCATACGTTGATATTATTGAAGATTTCTATTGCAGAAAATCCGTCCAGACCAGACTACAAACCACACGAACGACGGATATATCAATTATGCCGACAAGTACAACCTTTCCTAGTCCGAGGTGCCGAAAGTATCGAAGGGACCGGTACTTTCCACTACGCGCCGTCTATCTCGATTTTTGCGACATATCCTAGCCCAACATTCCAATATCCCAAACGTAATCGATATCTACATATCATTTTAATCGACTTCTACGATACATCCTAGATTTTTGCCGACGAAATACTAGGACCGACATACCGTTTATGCAGATTTTTAAAAATACAATATATCGTGGATGCGTATATATTGAGCTTTTCTTTGATAACGAGGGGCCCGAGGGCGGGGCATTTTTCTATGAGTTATCAAGTCAATATAGTAATTTCAGGACCATCAGCCCCCACTCCTAGCGGAGATAGAAACGAAAGATTAGCTACACTAGCTTTCGTGATTTTCTCTCTAGCTCCTAAACCTTGTTCCTTTTACGTAACAGAAGATTCATATGGATAAACATTGATCAGACCAATGATTTAATGACAAGCACAATTATCTTTGCGAGAAGTAATATCCAATTCATTCATTCCTGCTACTCCTTGTAAACAAAATGTCTTGGTATTGGTTGTCCTTCGATTCTTTATTTACAGCGGAGCACTAAGATTCTTCAGACGCGGATGAGGACAGCTTGCCTGTCATGTCAGCAAGGAGTGTCAGCACGACATGGAACATCAGCAAGCGGAATATACCCAACACCGAACTCTGATCCGGAAAGGAACGTTATCAACCCCCACTCTCTGAAGTCAGGTTGTGTTCTGCTCGTGTGGAGAGATGTCGATAGTATGCCACAGAAATAGTAATAGTCTTAGTAATAGTAATGGTAATAGCAATAGTATATTGGCAGCCACCACCCGGCCGGCCAGGCCTATTGCTTCTGCGCCACAGCGACAAACCGGGCAGATTAGATTGGAAGATGGGTACCTTGGAGCCATGCAGAGCCCCCAAGACTTCAAGAGGCTTCGGATTCAGGACTTGGCCCTAGTGCCCTAGCAACTGGACTGGCAAGTTCAAGATGGACTGACGGCTTCGGCATAAGAACACGAAGCGCAGGCAACCAGCACTCTCTGCTGGAAGCTGGGCCGCGAAGCAGCAGCTTACTCTGCGCAAACGATTGTGCTTGACACTCAAGCTTGCAGGCATCAAGTGGGAGCACACCCAAGGTCAGTCGCGACAGTGCGGTTCAGCTGTAATCACGAATGCTGGGCCTGCATTCATTTAGCAAGCTCAGGCAAGGCACTACAGAAGACAGAGATTCCGAGATGAAACTGAAGCGCAGAAAAGGCCAGAGCAACGGCTGTAGTATTCCCTTCACTCGCAGTCCGGGGCAAGCACGCATCCGCACTCACCCAGCTCGCGTAGCATTCGGCATGCAGCGCATGCCTCACACATTCAGTTGCAAGATCTGACCGGGGTCATTAAGCGTTGCACGCGAGCCAGGCTCTTTCGCTTGACCTGTCAATGCTCTGTCATGCAAAAAACTCGCCTGGATGGTTGGTAGCCTATTTTGTCGACACCAGCAATAAGGGCGGCAGTAAACATGTGCCAATGTCTTGCTTCGGATAAATTGCTAATTTGCTAATTAGTTTAGTCATCTGAGTTTCGGTTTGATTCAGAGTGCAGCCATCCCCTCTACCGGTATACCTCATGAGATATGTATGCATCCCCTCTGTGAGTTCCTAGGCAATGGACAAATGCACGTATCCAAGTTGTCGAGGTGCTGTTTAAGTTCGCAACTCTGTGTTCGACCTAACAGTTTTATGCACTTCTGCTTGACATCCTCAATGTTGGCTCCATCTGCTTCTGACACATGCTATGACAGTATTTTGTCATTCACCGCATGTCACGATGTGAAGGTGGAAGTGGATGTCGCAACCAAGCTGGTGGGCCATGCTGTGTCAACAGGAGGCGCCTGCAGGGCAGCAATGCGATCAGTGAGTCCCTCGAGTCGGACTCACCCAAGCAAATGCCTCGCACAATGACAGCTTTGCAAAGCTCTTGTAGCGGCTGGACATGAACACAGCACTTCTTATGCCACTGGCAGGAGAGGTGGTTCACTCCTGCCCGCATGATACAGGCGGCAGCAGTTTCAACAGGTTAGCCTGGAAGAGGTCCGGCTGTCAGGCATCAAGATCTTCGAACAGGGCCGTGGTATGCGGTATGCTGCTCTACTGGTCGTGTTAAGCAAGGCGAAGCAAAGGTCAATGGGAACACGAGACCTCAGCACAGCAGGGACCACAGGATGGGCAAAGTGGACCCGCCAATGCAACAGCAATCAGCAACTGGGGCTTGGCGCATATGCGCGCTCTTGATTTCAGGTGCTCGTAGCAGGCTATAAGGTGCCCTGTGAATAGTCATGGTCATGAGGATGATGATGATGATTGTCGCGATGGCAACGCCTTGTTGATGATGTTGGCCGCAACACCGTCTGTTCTCCCTACCGCTACAGTACCAAGCACACATGATTGATAAGAACAACAAGCATGGCAAAGGTATTACAATAGAATGTGTTACACCCAGTGGTAGGAGAAGCAATCAAGAACGCAACAACCACAATTTCTGAATGAATCGACAGAAGCGATGCACGGCGCCTCCTTCTACATATCGTCCGGAGAGCTTGCGAGAACCGTGTCACAGGGAAATGGAAAAAGAGACCCAGGTGACCCATGGCCCCTTCGAAGCATCATGCCAACAAGGCGACTGCCATCTGTCCCCAGGAAGACGGCTACATGATACATGTAGCTGTCTGTAAACACATTTATATACATACATATATACATATATATGTATATATATATATATATGTATTTATCTATTTATACGTTTGCCTAAGGTTCACTCTGTCTATATTCATACATCTAAGCGAACCTGCGTGAATCTAAGGTACTTGCGGCAGACTAAGTGGCAGCACACGAGATCCGGTGATCAGTTGCTGTTACAGTATGTTCTGTGCATAGCTCCGTTGCGCGTAGATGGGTGGCTGCCCTCACGCTTGGGGCTTGCTCCTGTTGCTTGCCCTGTTAAGTGCTGCTCCTCCTCTCTGTTCAGTGGCTTCCTCTAGCTTCGAGAGTCTCTCCTGTGTTCTCCCGCATCGTGTCGCGGTATCCAACACGAACTCAAGGTATCACCTAGACGCCGTGGTGATGCTTTCAGCCGTGACTGACGGAATTGCTGTACACGGTCGCTTATTTAACACCTTCTGCCGGTGAGGTCGAATTCTGAAGCCCCGGCAACAAGGCCCGGAGTCACCGAAAGCCGTCGCAATCTGCTTTGGCCGCCGCTGCAGCATGCGCCTCGGCAGTATCAGACAAGTTGTGTACCTGCACAAAGGTGCACAACAACACGCTGTTAAAGTTCAGCACCATCATACTTGCGAGCTCTACTTGTACCGTTGCCTAAGTATGTATGTACGTATAGACAGACACATGGGTTGGTACATAAACGGACAAACACACAGGAGGGTGCATACGTATCTCCGTGCGTGTGAGAGTGCGTCTGTGCATCTCACATGCACCTGAAGGCAGACCACCTACCTCGAAACTACCTTCACTCTCTGAATGGGACGTTTGCAGAAGATCAACACCCGGAGCTGATGGCAAGCGGGATAGTGTTTAGTGAGATCGCCATGTGCCTGCACATGTACGAGTCTTTGTTTTTACAAGAAACACAGACATGTGCACACGAACAAAATACTTGAAAGTGCATATACAGGCATGTAAGATATGCAGGTTATAGTTTACGTGAAGTTTCCGTTCACATATACATACATATATATATATGTATATATATATATATATATGTATATATATATATATATGCGTCATATGTATGTGTACTGTGAATACAGTGTGTATGTATATCTCTATGTGTGTATGTATATATGGATACACATGTACCCATGCCTGCAATGATACAACCAATTGCATAGGTTGGTGTTCTTGCCTGTCTGTTCGGATTTACTTGCATTGTTGTGTACACATAAGACAAAGGCTTAGTGTAGATAACAGAGGTGCCCAAGAACCGCACAGTCTCCAGAGGCGACGCCACCGCCGAGTGCAGTGGATACACCGCCTGCGGAAGGCGCGGTTTCTGCTTCTACCGCAACAGCGTAGGACCTTTTCTGGTACTTCGGAATCTAGAGATGATAAACACCGAAATGGGCAGATCCCAGCCTCTGGACGATAACAATAAGAACCGCCTTGAGACACCAGCAGGCTTCAGGCTCAGGCACCCAAGGCCAGTAGGTAAGCACGGCCCCTGAACTCAGGCGCCGACTATAAGAAATGACAAGCAAGCTATGGACGCCTGGCACCGGAGTGCACCGGAAGCGAAGACTGGCCGAGCAGCTCGGATGCTGCGAGGAAGCAACATGTCGACCGTGTCACTGGCAAGGTGAAGTTCACACTGACACTCCCCTGCTCAAGATTAGCCAAAGCAGCCAACGTAAGAGCCGCCCCACCAAGGAGTGCCTTGCATGCCACAAGTTCTGTTGATCCAGGCAAAAGTCCTTTTTGGGATCCACAGTTTGCGCCCGTGTTCACACAGGTACCTTAAAGGCAGCCTCATATAGGCAGTCCTACACTCTGCAGGTTGCACTCCCAGCAGGCTTCTGCAGGACGAAGCTCTCGAACGAACTACGAGATCACAATCTCTTCTCTAGGGCTGCTGCAAACGGTCCGAGGGAAGATCCCACCTTAGTTGCCGACCCACCATCAGAACAACCATCAGTCTTGCAAGGCCTACACAAATCCGAGTGAAGCTCTTGTCCGCAATCCGTCGCACCCTGAGTGCCAACACTATGAAACACTCCCCGACCTGATGCACCGAGTAAAACTTCTGGTGACAGGCAGGCGACGATGAAGGGCAAAAGAAGGAGCAACCACGGCAGCAGCAGCCACCTGCAACGATTCACAACTGCAATCTCCATCCAAATCGCGCAATCAAACTCTGCCCAATCTGGGGCACAGTGCTGGCAAGACACCAGGACTGGTGCTGTCAGATGCTCTTGACGGGACATGTCAGGCAACAGCAATGCAATTCGAAGGCACCGTCCTTCTGATTCATGCTCCATGGACAGGATTGCGTAAGTGCAGCCTCATGGGGTGGCCCTGCGGAAGCAAAATACTCCGCGAGTTCTGCAAGCTCTCGGAAGCGCTGGGATGGACCTGCACAGCTCTCAGGTGCCCTAGAACAACCATCCAAGACTGTGAGATTCTCAACAATAACAATGCGGAAGGACCGGAGGAATAATCGAGCACAGAGTAATGATCTAAGCAACCTAAAGGTCAAAGGCTCGGGGTTGTAGTTTGTCGTCAAAGCGAAGAAGATGCAGATGCACAAGCAAGGCTTTTTGTTCGCTTCATCAGAAGAGATGCACGTCTTGGCAACAAGCTGCCATGCTACTGCTAAGGCAGCTGCTGCTACAGACCCTGGTGGATGCACTTGCTTTAGGCAGAGTGCCTCTGTGCCAAGAAAAATCGAGTCCGATTCTATCTATCTCTGTCCTGATCAAGGTTTTCAAACGCACTAGGCACAAGAGACCCCGAAGTCAGATGTCAAGTTTTGGCATGTGCAATAGGAAGGTCTCCGTGCACTAGCGGTGTCTCATCACAAGACAAGAGACACAGGCGATAGTGTACAAATGGATGGGTGAATAAATTACATGTATTGCACATCGTGCACATCGTCTGGAAATGAATCTAAGGCTCCTCTGGTAAGGTGTCGATCGGCTGATACCTCGGCGCAATGGCACAAAGTCGCTCACCGGTGTTCAGCATGTTTTCAGCTCATTCAAGCGATATGTTCAAAGGTGCTCTAGCAGCAGAACACAAAGCGGGCGGAGATTCAAGACAAGATGCCGCAGAGAAGTGGAACCAGTTGGGCCCAAAGGCTCGGATTGTGAGCCCAGCCCTGAGTCAAAGCGACACTCCCAACATTCTTCAAGAACTCGAACCTCCACCCCTAGACGTGCTGCCTTTCTTCAAGGCCCAAATCACGCTATTTTATGTTGGGAGTCTGTCTCTGGCATACTTGATCATCGTAGATGCCGGCTCCTCAGCATGCGATAGGTGAAGCAAAGTAAATGCTGAGGTGAATCAACAGACAACAACATGGCTGAGCAAGCCGGGATTCCAAGAGCTCGTTAACAAGCGGTGCCTCCTGATGTCACATGCAATCGCACCATGCTGAAAATAGTGCTCCTACTGTTGATAGCCTTGCACTTGCCACCTTCCTTCCCAAGAGTCCTTGTGGATGTGCACTTTAAGCGGGAAGAGTTCCTCAGAGACTTCGCTTGTGTCGTCCTGTGTCACGGTCAATCGCACTCTCAGCTGTCCACGACAGAGCTATGCGGCTCTGACGTACTCCGGTCTGATTCGGTCAAACTGATTGTGTGTGAGACTGAGACAGTTGACTGACACCTGAATCATAAGTTTGGTTGCCTGTGCTTACGTTGTGGTGCATCAGATGTTTCCTGCTTGATGCTTGAGACTTGACTTAAAAGCTCACTTGAGGATCCGGTCCCACTTCCGGATGAGGAAGGAGCCAATCGAAAGGACACCTCCCAGCTGCAACAGCTTGTTGTTGCAGTCCCGGATAGTGAAATCTCTACCTTGCAAATTGCACCAGCTGCTTCCTCTGACAACGACTGCGTTTGTCAGCTGAGGCATAACAGGTCAGAGAAGTCTCAGCTTCCCGCTCGATACGACTAAGACGATGGAAGTTGGAATCTTATGATACACGAAATCCTCAGAACCTCATGAACTTCAAAACTGCGTTGTAGACCACATGCGACTTTACCGTTCGAACGGTCTATGTCTCGGCACCATCAACTAAGACACACCTTAGATGTTGCAAGAAGAGACACAATGCAACGTTGCAGTTTGTGGTTTTGACACACAAACACTTGGGACGTTCCAGTAAATGACTTGAGATAAGGACGACTGGGAACGAGGAACCACTGCAAAACAACACCGCTACGAGTCAGACCGAGAGAGAGGACGCAGCTCATTGCCAGAAAAAGGCGATGACATTTGCAATTCTGGTGTTGGTGACTTGTCCGTCAGTGCAGCAGAGAGCATTGACCACAAGTGCAAGACGACAGCAACCGCACGCTCACAAAGGTGAACGAAAGCCTGCAAGAGATATTTATGAAGCCCGAATCACACGTCGTGCCTTCTTCGCAGGCATAAACACATGAAAGAAGGCTGATCAAGATAGATCAACTAAGCGGAACTATGACCCGAACTCATGGCCTGCGGAATTTGGCTACTTTGGTTTCAATTGAATATGTATGTACACACATACATATACATGATATATATATATATACATATACATACATACACACATGTAATTGGGCAAGCAGGAGGTCCATTGACACACTCAACGATCGTTTCAACAATACATATACATTTTTTGTCAAACCGCATGCGCCGCTTACTGAACCCCTAGTATCGCTAAACTTGCGCCTACGTACCGATTGACCGAACCGAAACGTACCGCAAAATGTCGCTTCCCCCCGCATCCACTTTCACTTCCCGCCTCTCACTTCCCACCTCCTCACCGTTCCCACCTTTTGGGCCGCCGGGAAGTGGGATCTACATTCTGTTACATTCTGTATGTTCCTCAGGCCCGTCCGGGAGAAGAAACGGAAGGTCTGCTTTGGATGTGCCCGTGGAAAGATCTCGTGGAGTGATTGTTCTCAGCGGGCCAAGTGGCTCATCCTACCTACACTACTGGCCAGGTATGTATCTCAATGAACTCAAGCTGTGCTAACATGCGTGAATCTCTTAATTCTCCAGAAACACATGAGCACTGTGAGTGCGATGGGCCTTGCATTCCAAGGCACCTTCTTTGTGTGGATCTAGCTGGTGGAATCTGAGAACCTGTAAAATCTCTGTCTTCGGATCCTGAGACTCTTCCGTCCAATTAACTTTGGCACTGCTTGGGAGAGCAAGCAGTCTCCAAACTGCTGATGCGGAGCCTTCCATCCAGTATTCCAGGCTATTTGTATTGTCTCATCTTCTTCTGCATGCTCCTCTCGACGTCTGCAAAAGTAAAGCGATGCATGATCATGAGAGCTCGAAGCATTCTTGTGCCTAGGGCCTAGGGTTTGGCGATTGCAACCATCACTTCCATGACAGACCTGCTCGTGTTTCTGGATCACGCCAACGAGGAGGACAGTAAGCAGTGCAAGGCATCCAACATTGATAATGATCCTCGATGCTTGACTGCTGAGTTCGAGGGCAGTGACAGCTGCGGCCTACAGCCACACAGCAGCACTGCCTGTCAATGTCCATGACCAGACAAGCGGCAGCGCCAAGTGGGTGGCTTGCGACCGCTTCGGGCTCGTGAGATCTGAGGCCTTCCAATGTCGGAGCCAGAATGCAAGCATCCCTCGCCCTCAGAAGGCCTGTGCAGTGCTGAATGTCCAGAACGCCACGGGGACAGCAGAGCCTGCAACCAAGCAGACAAGGGCCAAAGGTGCCCAGGCATCTGCTTGATGGCCCTACAGTCCTGCCTAGACATCCGATGGCATACTCATGCACTGCCTCAGCAACAAGTCGCCAGGGTCCAATGCTGACAGCATTGTGCAGAAAGAGCCATCGGCACTCCTACTCCAATGGCGCTGCCAAGGAACCAAAGACGTCATTGCGCAAGCGTAGTCAAAGACTTCAGCTGGCAGAATTGGCAAGCTCCGTGCCATGAAGACAATCTTCACTCCTTATCAACATGTGATGCTATCCGGAAGAGCAGGCAGGCTTTCGCAGCTCTACTGTTGCTGCTGTGTTTGCGTTAGTGGCTGCGGTTGAAGTTGTAGGTGCAGCTGCGGCTGCAGATGTTGTTGGTGGTTCTATGCAAAGCTTGCCACCGATTCTGAGAAGTCTTTCCCGATTGTGCGAGTCGGTAACCAGCCTTGAAGAAAGACATGGGACATGTGGTGCAAGGGAGTCGGTGCCCAGTCGTGCAAACGAGGTTCCCGCACTGTCGATGATGCCTCGGCACCGGACAGGCAGAAGAGTCATTGCCTGTGCCCCATACACCCCCACCCCTCCCGACATTCCCAAACCAACTTCGAAAAACCAAGTGACGGCAGCAACGTTGGCAACGAGCAACAAAGAACAAGCCGCACAACCGGGCTGGAAGTGCTGCTCTCCTATACATTCGCTGGAAAAGCTTGTTCTGTTGGCAGGTTCGCCGCCTGAAAGTGAACAAGATAAGCGAACATTTGCCAGTCCAAGCGTCGGTTTAGCCGCCGCAGCACGCGGCTGTGCTTGCCTCGGATCCAACAAAGCAGCGGCTCGCAGAACGCAGGTGGTGAACTTCATGTTGCCACGGGGTTTTGGGCCAAGCCAACATGCAGGTGAGTTGCTCGCTTTTCGGGCATAATCGTTCAGCAGCGTCTTGCCCAAAGCAAAGGCCAAGACACCTGTGCGCTTGTTGTTCTCCTCTCGGCTACTCTGTTTGCAAGCGGGCGCGCCCGGCTTCTCTACATGCTACAGCACAGATTTTGGCAACAAATATCTCCCTCAATAGACTATGTTGCGCCGTTACGCCCTTTGGATCTATCCCTCTCATTGCAGCTCAGTTGTGGCCTTGTGGCTACAAGGAATGCCATTCGGTCGCAAGGCAGTGGTAGCTCAGGACCCGACTGCCGACCCAAAGGCCACTGAAGACTACGCCGAAAGCAATCGCACCACCTGTGACGGCCTGCGCCGAAGAGCTGTCAAGGATGCTCCCTTAAGGCGGTAAAACTCCCAGGAGGCCTCTCCATCATTCAGTTTCGTAAACAATGGTCCAGAAAGTGCCATGACGGGGAAAACCGGCAGCATAATCACCTCAGCGACGGGGCAGGACCCAGGTAGGCGACATCAGACCAGACAGGCTGAGCCTGGCACCGGGAGCACCGAAGAAACAAGGAAGAGAATCAGTGCTGACCACATGCCTATCGTCCGGCACCAATGGACCAAACCTCAAAACGTGCAGCAGCGCAAAACACGCAGTCGTCGTTGATGGCTGACTGCTACCACGTTGCGTGAAATCAGCCGGCTGAGCCGATGATGATCGAGGATCCCATACCTGGTGTAAGGGAGGGAACCTGTCTACCCATCGGCTAAAGCTAGTGCAATACTCGGGACTCAGAGAATCAGCTTTTGCCGTCCGGGTGGCACGAAAAATGCAAGGATGAGGCAAACTCCCACAAGGAGCCTCAAGGATCTGAGACAATCGCATGGTGAGGCGTCGAGTACCTCGCGTGCCTGATATTCAGCTGGCTTTTCTCGATAACCCGGATCTTTGAGAAGTCCTCAGCACATCTGAGATGAGGCGTAGCTTTTCAACACCTGGTTCCAGGCCTCCCGTTGCAGTCGTTCTTCTGAAGGGTTATCTTCGTGGCGCAGGGTGACGAGCAGTTGCTGGTGCCTCCCCTCGCTGTCGTCGATGACCTCCTGGTAACCATGAGTGGTTCGCGGCCGTGCTTTTGAACTTAATGTTAGAATCCTCCACCTGCTTTATTTGCATTGACGTAAGATGAAGCGGGCTTGACAGCCGGAGAATGTCAAGATGCAGTCCATCCGACTCTTACTCACCAATTCGACGTCTGCGGGCCATTCCAAACTTCGCACACTTCGAAGAACTGGACGCTTAGTGAAGATGTAAACTGAGGCACGGAGTGCTGGGTTGGGGCGAAAACACAGTGCGACATGAATCTACGGATGCTGCTGCTTCTCTGACGTGCAGCCAAATGGCCTGAATGATCCCGGAGGTGTGCCTTCGGTAGTGATGAAACGGATGGATCAACTCAATCTCGCTGCCTGCAGGGCACGAGAGAACCGGTTGCAGATCGCTGGGACGTGTTTCCTGACGCCCAGAACCCAGCCTGCTTTGAATCTAGCGCCTTTGGCATAGCAGGCCTCGGCCCAAAATCCAAAGTGCAATCTGCCGGGTGTGGCTCTAAGAGGCAAAAAGTCTGCATATTGAAGACCTCCGATTCTTGGGCACTTCTATCAGTAAGTGTGCCGCCTGGCACACATCCCAAACGCATCGCTCGCAGGACCAGAATAACTCGCTCTGAACGATCTTCCGCCGGCAGAAATCGCAGACCTTGGATACAGTTTACTCGGCACCACAAGTCTGCCATGGTGTTAGTCTTGCATGTGCAGACACCACAGGATAACACCTGTCTCCTCAGAACTCAGGGGATGTGATGAGAAATGTCTCAGCGAAGGCACGAACCTGTTGCTCTTTTTCGCTTCCATCTGGTGCAGCATGTGGTTGTGAAGACATCTGCGGTCATTCTCCTCGCCTATGCCGACCTTCGCAAAGCGCAAGCAAGAGTGCCCTTCGCTGCACTACCTTGAAGATGGCACGCAGTGATACACCGAGTATTTGAGCGAAGGTTGAGGCTGCGAGACTACCACGACCCTCTTACTTTGATTCTGAATGGCAACCCGTTCCTGGCCATATCTGATCATCTACATCGCCGCTTCCCCGTTCTTTTGGTGAGGATGCGTCCCGTCCGAGTTAGACAGTATTGCTGTGGAGCCGCGAGCTCGTAGGAGTTCTGAAAGGAAGTCCAGGACCGGAAGCCTGCGCTCGACTGGGAGAATCTCGGAGACACTGGGGACCGGAGGGGACCGGAACCACTGAGAGAGGGTGCAGGAGCCTCGCTTGGTGGTGCGAGGGACTCCGCAACTCTCACTGATTTGGCTGCTTCTGCTGACCTGCTGTGTTTACATGTAAACACCTTCGCGCAAATCTGAAGAAGAGCAACTACTGTAAGGGCGTGGCCGCCCTCTCCAAGCTCAGGCTGTCTAAGGTTCCGCTCCTCCCCTGCACGGAGACACGACAAAAGTCAAGCCTCCGCTGCCCCCGAGAGCACAGAGCGATCTCGCCTTGTCAAAGACTAAGCTCTCGGAGTGCTCACACTGATTCTGCTCCATTGCGTGGGGCCACGGCACTATGCACACCGAGTCACGAGTCATGTATGAAGTTATCAAAGGCACTGACGATCTGCGGCATGAGTACTCCTGCCCTCTCCTCTGCTACTGCTACTCATCTGCAAAGGGCTGGCTTTTCATCGATCCGGACCCAGCCTCCCCGACCATCCGGAATGCTGTCAGGCCGAAAAGCAGCATTCCGGCAGGGCAGGGCGAATACACCAAGGACAGCATCAGCGAGCGTTGCAAAACACTTGACGTTACCTTCTCATGTCTCTGGCTGTGTCTGAAAGCGTCCCCATGAGTGCGGCCTGGCAAATCAGAAGAATAGCCTTCGTGTGCCCGAGCTGCTTAGATCCAAGCGCAGCCTGGGACACAGAGAGCATGACATGGGCGGTCTATATTCAAAGCTGGACTGATCCGCGTGAGCACAATCTTCCTGCCTCGGCGTTGATGACTGCAACCTGCTCGGCACAGTCACAATCCGCTCATTCCTGCGGTTTCCCCCGAAAGGCCCGCCTTGCAGGAATTCGTCGAGGCTTGGTCGGGAAGCTCGATGACTGTGTGAATTCCTGGAACGAACACTCCCATGTCAATGTACGAACTTTGAACCCTCAAACTTCTGCATCCTGGACCTATGATCTGCGTAAGCCCGCCGTCCTACAGTCCTACAACAGTCCTACAGGACCCAGCATCCCGACATATCCCGACAAACCGCATGTTAAATCTTCACATGGCTCGCGCACCTTGCACTGTCCTGTTCTTTATCCTTGGCTGCACAGAAGGCAAGACACCTTCGAGGAAAGTCCGAAGCCAGGGCACCGGAAGGGCTGTCCGGTCACCTGCACGTGGAATCGCGGTCGACCGGTGAGCGGTGAATCCGGATGGGAGCCTGAAGCTGGGGCACGGAGAGTCTGCAAGATGTCAAGCTGCGCTTTGCCAAGCTGCTCCATTCCAGGCCGCTTTGGTTCAGAAAGGTGGCCTTCATTCTTCGAACTGTATGGCCACTTGCGAAACGTGCAGCTACATCCAGGTGCAGATCTTGACATAATGACGTGTCGTCACTGGAAACGATTCGTGCGACAAAGGCTCCACTTCTGGAATGATGGGAATGTACAGCTTCGACAACTGGAATGCTGGTGCTGCGCTCGCGGGCACCTGACATGCAGGCGCTTTCGCAAGTCCGACAGAAGAGCTTTCAGAATTCCGCTCAGAAAAGACGTCATTGTCTTCCAAGAGCTCTCAGATCGCGATATATCGCGATGTCCGTGAGGCCTCTAGCTCCACGAGGTCAACGTCCAGCACCGGCAGTGGACTCTCTTCGGCCTCTCCGGACTCCGGGCATCAGCTCAGCTGCTCAGCTGCTCAGCTCCCTGGGAAGCATTGCCCTGGCCTTGTGACGACCTAACCACGCCCAGGACGGGCTGGCAACCACGAAGAGCGTGCATAGAACGCAGAGGCCCGCGCACCTGCAGAGGATACCAGTACCCTGGTGGCTTTGAGGTAAACCAGTACCAGTCACACCACGCTAGAATTACGTCACTGTTCAGTCCCTTGGGCTGTGCCTGAAGACTCGCTTGGCCGGCCGTCCTTGCCGGCGCGCTGGCCGGGCAATCACTTCGGCCTGAGCTTCTTCTGGGGAGCCCGTGAGGTGTCGAGAGAAACAGTTCGGAACTATAATATGGGCATATGTGTATTTATGCACACAAGTGCATCACATGTGTACATGTACATATGTGTGCGTCTACATGCGAACGTGTACATGTGCGTGTGTGTGTGTGTGTGTGCATATACATATATGCATGACATATAACATGTATAATTACGTGCCAAAGAATGTACTCTTGCAGCTTTACATGTGCTTGTACCTGAACAAAATCTGCATGTGTACATAAAGACGATTGTGACGTTTATGAAGACGGCGATGCTGTATGTACATGCATACATTATGCATACATGCGTACATACCTACATACATGTACACATCCATCCATCCATGCATGCATCCATGCATCCGTACATCCATCCATCTTCCATCCATCCATCCATCCATCCATCAATCCACACGTTTACATATAGGTACAACATGGTACAACGCATGAACATCTACGTGTACGTCTACGATTATGTGTACACATGCCCGTGCGCGTGTGCATGCACACACGCACGCGCACGCCTGTGCGCATGCTCGCGTGTATCTGTTGCTTCTGAAACGCACGAAAGCACGCTGTCTGCGGTTCAACAGTACGCGGCTGAGGAACATGGCTCCGCCGAAACCATGGAAAGGGGCTGTGCTGTCCCAACTCCATGGCACAAAACACCCGACTGAAGCGGATGCCCTCTTCGAGGGCCTCGGGTGAGCTGAACTAAGGTTGGTCTAAGTTTCATGAGTCATGAGCGTACAGCGCTTTAGCCCGAAGGGGAGGAAGGCCCCCAGCTGCAAGGAGGTTAAGGCGGGCAGTGGCTTTCACAGCAAATACATTCATGGATTCACAGTGCCACATTTGGAGGGAATTTAAAAAGCCAAAGCTGCGAGCAGGACGAAAGTGCAGCTGAAACACAACTTATTGTGCAAGTTGCCGCCTCAAGTTCGTCTCTGAAGCCTCGTGCAGTCCAAGCACTAGCACACATTGCACTTAGCCCTTGGGGATTCTGGTCGGTTCTCCGGTTCAAGCGCAACTCGCCGAGGCGAAACAATTGGCAGCTCAGCAGCTTGAAAGCATGGGTTTGTTGTGGCTCTTCCGATGGAAGATACCGTCTTCTGCAAGCTCTGCGACACAAGTCTTTTCTCAGAAACGCACGCAGAAACGCAGAAACTTCAATTGCTTCCTTTGGCTGCAGACGATGGCCGGTTCAGCCTCACGTCCTGTTGCGTGCTCTCGTTAGCAAAGCTACCCCGTCTCCCGGGCCCTCCGAAGGAGCGAAGATAGGGTGACAGCCAAGTTCCCAGCGACGAGCCTGGCTCCACTTTGTTTTATGCTCTGTCAGGATGCGGCATACAGTACAGTATAACATGAAGTGCAATTTGTAATGGTAAGCACAAAAGCAACGTGGCATCTAGCCTGCACGAAAATGAATTGTCCTTATGTGGCCAGCCCCCTAAAGGCCGCTTGGCTGGCTGGAGGTCCTCAGTGGTTTTTCCGCATGGACCTTCCAAGATGCCACTTGGACATGGCTGGTCGCCGCTCATAGGGATCTTCTGCTTGCAAAGGGTTCAAAGCTCTTGTAGTCTGGCTGGTTCTGCACGACAAACTTATGGGACATCTGGATCTCAAAAGAACACAATGGAATCTTTGCATCCAGGAGATCTTGTTTGCGGTGGGTGTGAAACACTAAACACGCAAATTCGATGCCAAACGTGGCGAAGCCTCAGCTCGCAGAGTTGACGAGCGCCTGGCAAGGCGGTCCGGCAGAGCTGGCGGAAGCTGCGGAAACACCGACTCCTCCATTCAGATTCAGACGAGCAACAGCTTTGCTGGCAGCCGATGGTGCCTTCCTCAGAGCTTCAGACTGCAAAAACCAACATGGCACAAGTGGATCTCAAATGATAGAAAGACCTCGCGGCAAGCGGCGCTCCGAACCCCGCCAGCTGGTGGCCTCCAACTTCGCCCAAGGCTACCTGCATTCTGCGGTAAATGCATCCCGGAAGAGCTCAGGATAAGAGGGCTGATGAGGCCCTGATGCGCGCTTCATGATGGTTTGTCGGGTTTGTCGCAGCTCTGGGGAGAGCCACCAGCAACATCGGATGTCAGTGGTGACCTTCCGAACAGCCCGGTATGAATGACTTCATATTGCCCCGCACCCCGGGAAGCCCAAACACATCCCAAAAACCTACACCCCACGATCCCGCCCTCGTAGAGCGTGGAAGCTCCAGCGGCAGAGGCAGCTCGTTTCCGTCGGAGCCTCCCTCCTTCGGAACGCGCTGCAGTGATCTCGCTGGCCTCCATACTACATACCTCATACATGCGTAGAAATGATACACACACACACACACTTGTGTACCACACGACAGTCCTTGAGAAGCGGCAGCGGCTGGGAGACATAGCAGTTTGGCCCCGTTGCGGTGCCATTGGGAGTAGTCGGACTTGTATTTGGTGTAGCGCCACCTGACAAACTTAGAAGCAGCCAACTCTCTGCTCAAGGACAAAGGCTTGGTCTGTTTGATCTGCCAAGGTTTGTCAAAAACTGCCGGAAGGTCGGATGCTTCGTTATGTGGAGGAGATGGGAGGAGCCACACATTCAGAATCAGACACTTTCTGCCCCACCCTTGCTGTGCCTGAATCCGGCTGCTTCGCCGTAACAGACACCGCTGTTGACACCAGCGGCAATGCCTGCACAGGACCAGTACCTGACAAGCCACGCATCGCTACGAGCATACTTGTGGCTTGGCTCATCCAGCTCCACTAGGGCTCGCACGGGGGAGCTGTGACAAAGTCGCGCGTCTCCTCGGAAGCCTCGGCTACAAAGACATGGACAAGTGGGCGGTCTCTTCAGCCAGAAGAGGCGCTGTCAAGCCAAGGGACAAGGCGGCTTGCGGGCTGGGTGCCTCCGCCTCTGGTGAAGGTGGAAGGCTGTTGATCCTTGGCGGAGGCCCAGAGCCCAGGACTCTTCGAACTTTTGGAACACTTTACGAACACTTCGAACCTTGAGGCTCCAAGACTTCAAGAGCTTGAAACCTGATGTACTCCGGGCAGCTGCTCCCTCACGGCTGCGCGGTAGAAGCGAAGCTCGTTGGGCGTTGGGGTAGCTGCTAGATGTCTCAGCTTTACCTGACACTGCAGATTCCAAGCAGAAACTGGCAGCACAGGTGATAGCAGTCTATAGCATTGATCAGTATTACCCTGTGCCTTGACGTTGCTGATGGCACGCAGCCACAGCATCTTCTCAGCACAGGTTCTCGTGGAGAAGTGGTGGTCGCCAAGGCTAAAGCAGCTGCAGTCAATGCCCACCCGCTCACTGACACCTCGGACTGTTCAAGCTAACGCGCAGCGTCATGCAAAGAACATGTCCCGCCTGACGTCTTGGGTGTGGGAACTTGCGGGGCCGTGAGGGGCTGTAAGGCAAGCCAGGTCACAAGTGTTCGTGTCAATGGCGAGGTGAACCACTTGCACCTCAGCCGCTTAGCTGTTTGGACGCGTCGATCTCCGTCTGCTGCAAGGCTGGATAACACGTGAAGCTTTCGCCAGATTCCCAAAGCGTGCAAACGCCATATGCTGTCAAATGGCTTTGCAGGCGTCATCCTCGTATGCAGCGAAGCCCGCAGTGTTGTCGCAGTGGGCGTGCAGCTCACCTCCATACTCTCTCGCTTCACTGACGTGTCCACCAAGGCCGCGCAGGCCAACCCAGGCCAACCCTAGAAAAGAACAGGCCGAGAAGAGTCGGAATCGGAGCTTGACAATAAGTTCTTCCTCTATCGCGTATAAGACTGGCCAAGTCTGGACAGCAAGAGCTAAGCTCTAGGCTGCGTTTCCCAGATGCAGGGGGGCCCGAAAGTCCAGTGCCAACTTGAACGCACAAGAAGGCTGTAGTCATTCATGGCAGCACGTCGGCACAATGAAACAGGACTGTAGAACGAATGTGTTGATTACAATGATGAGCTACAGTCGCCATACCACGAGAGTGTCCAGGAAGACAATAACAACGTTGATACTCACGCATTAGCAAAGTAATGCTCCAATGCTACACTACCTTTAAAATCGGACAGACCTGAAGAAGTGCTGTCCCCGTCCTCATGTTTTGATGGGTGGCATGCTACCACAGACACTGCAGGCAGCATGCCAGTGCCTCTGGAACACGATCATGTTATCCTGTCCTCCTATGGGAATGAGCCCTTTTTCGGTTGCACTTCTGCCCCATCGCTTCACAAAGATTTTGACTCACTCTCTCGTCAGCCAAGCCGCCGTAGACCAGCGACACGCCCTGGTCATCGTAGAGCAGCATATACCCTGGATTTGTCTTTGCTACAGAAACAGCGGAAAGCGCTGGTCAGACAACCTGACCCCATCCGGCGCACCTGCTAGCAACCGGGTGGACGTCCAGCTTGCTCCAGGCAACGGGAAAACAGCCAACTGGAAGGAGGGGAAAAGAGACTGCGTCAGAATCCGCAAAGCTCGTGACACCTCAGAAGCTAGCATCTGTTCGAAATGTTGACTGGCGCATCGTGCCTTCATGCAGCGACTTTGTAAGCGATACATGATTCTTACATTGGACAACACTCCACGTCATTTGAATTCCATGAGGCCAACTCGATGGGATGCGACTTCATTACAACGCCTGCCATCCAAGGCACATCGGCCACCCACCGCGCACGTTCCGTGTCGGCACTAGGGCCATGTGTGGCGAAAAAATGGGTGATGCCATGGTGGAACACCGAGACCTGCACAGGGAGGAAGATAAGATTCAATCATGTACCTTTGCACACTCCGTGAAGAAGCTGAAACAGGTGTGACCCCTGTTACGGGGTGGTGGTGGTCATGTCTGGCTCTGCAACGGCGAAGCCGTAATGATGACGAAGTGTGATGGGGACGTTCTGTAAAACGATGATGAGGGAATAGATCTGCATGTTTGCTCAGGTTCATATTGCGGCTGCGTTCTCTCTTGTTGTTATTTCTGGCGAAGCTTCTAGTCTTATCGTGCATTGCCTGCAGACAACATACTCCGCCATACTCTGCCTTCTTATCATAGGCCCAGGTTTAGTCGCAAACCTTGGCCAACAACAAGCCCGAGACCCAAACCCCATAACATCCTAGATTCACACCAGTAATGTGACAATGCAAGAACAGAGTGTCGAAAGCATCCAAGTGCTTCGATTGCAAATATCAAAGATATGATGGAAACTCCGAAGGAACTTCGCCATGACCTAGGCCTGCTCTCGGAGCTACCCGAAGCCCAGCAAACCCGAGACGAGACTCTGAAAGGCTCGTAGAGGCTTGGAAAGTCTTCGACGGTCCGGGCTGATGCAAATCCAGCCTTGAAAAGACGTAACCACGGCTGCGATTGATCGGCCTTTCGCGCCGGAGAACAGGCCCTACATCACTTTCAGTGCCGCCGCAACTAAGAACACTACGAAAATCAAATCGTTTGGCCTGGATTGTGTGAAGCCTGCAGGCTTGTACCAGGGAAAACGGCGACCACGCAATACTCATGGCTGGATGATTGTCATCCGGATATCCTTAGACGATTTGGCAACTCTGCAGTGCAAGTTGAGCTATGAACCACAGTACCAACAACCGACAGTGTTGGGGTCACAGTGAGCCAAGTTCACCGTTTCTTACAGTATCCCTCGAGCAAAGGCGCTGATTGAAAATCCATTGGAATGGATGGACAAGATCACCTTCTCAAAGCTTTTGCCATCCTCTTGGCACAGATGCCAGACCTGTCCAAGAGCTGAACGCATTCCCCACGCTGCATCTGCCGAAAATCATGCTTCGCCGATAGTTGAGCAAAATCAGCATGACGGGAATAGATTATGCCTACGTCAAGCCAAAGAAGGACATCTCAGCAAAATAAACCTCAACTCTTCGTCTTAAAACTGCAAACGGGGATGCCTCGCCAGACCTCATCGGAGGCTCAGTCAGCGGCCTCGCAGCGAGGCAAGGCTTACTGCGTAGGCCTGGAGGACAGTCTATGGGTTTCGTGTTTAGCAGCCGCGTCTCACGTTCATCGGAGTGCAAGTCTTGTCTTGCTGTGAATCTCGCTGATTTTAGCAGAGCCGCAAATCCATCTCAGCGGAGTAGGTAATCAAACCTCAGCACAAGTTCCAGTCGCAGGTATCGAACTCCTGTCACATCCTATCACTTGCCCAGAGCTGCTGGATGCACAGCGAATCTGAGGTGAGATGTGCATGTGACTGCGATCATGGTTCGGCACACTAGACAAGGCCAGCGACCCTCCCGTGGACGACTTGGAAGTTGCGGAACTTCTTCCGGTGGCAACGGCTCCTGAATCAGTCTCCAACCACCACACAGCATGATTCGATGTAACCTTTCTCAAAACGACCAATCAGCATGACATGTCACGAGTATCATATACATATACATATATAGGTACACATACATAGTATACATATGTCATATATATCTATGCTTATACTTAGAAATAGGCGTATATGTGGGTGGTTGTAAAAAATATGGTTCCTTTTTGGGTCCTTAATAATATAGTAACCCATGTAGACGTATATATGCACAAGTACATCACCCATACAGGCACATACACGTACACGCCAACATACATAGAGACGCCGTTTCAGACACAAATATCTTGGCACGCATACGCACGCGAACACACGTTTACATACGAATTCGTAAATACATGCATGCATACACGCAGAAATGCACAAGCGCATGTACACATACAAACACAACATGCTTACATACTAACATCATCTATACGTGCATACATTGAGACAGACAGACAGACAGACCGACAGACGGACCGACAGAGAGACAGAGGGACAGGCAGACAAGCAAACAGGCTTTGTGTGTGTTGTGTGTGTGTGTGTGTGTGTATGGGTTTGAGTATGATCTCCTCCGGCGGCTCTCCGCAAAGAAAGTACTCCACGTCCGTCTCGCCGGGCATGTGCGGCTGTGCCTTCCCATCTTCGCCTCAGCTTCATTGCAAAGGAGCGAAACTTCGAACAACAGCAGAACCATGGCATCGGAGAGAGTGTCGATTGCCCATCTTGTGCACACCAGGACAAGCGCGAAAAGGCTATGCCAAGGCCTCTGCCCTTCTTGTTTTCGCCTGCAGCCAGGGGCAGGGGGGTTACTTTCACTCAAGTCTCAAGTCACAGTGTCCGAGCCTTGCTTGCATCTGCAAAGCGTGTTGATGACAGAAGCTTCGATGTCTGTCATCGACTTCTCGCCCTACACCATGGCGAAAGGCTGAGCGGCGGTTTTGCTGCCCGGCTACTAGCACTGCCCGCTTCCCTGTCGCTGATACTGGCATGTTTGTTGAGTGTGGGCCTTTATCTTTGGGCCTGGCAGAGTGGTCGGAATGAGCAAATCCCCCATGCGTTCATGCAGTTCTGGGTGATTCTAAGTGTCAGTCAGATATTGAGTTCGGTCCAATGGTCCGGGGTCAGGTCGAATGGACTTCTACGCGCTTCAGTTGATCTTGCAGTCAAACTGGACATGCTCCGGTTTGGTAGGCTGCTGCTTGTCAGAATCGCGTACCTTGAACAAACTGCGCATCAATTGTGAGGACCATGTTCACGAAGAAAGCATGCCACCTATTCCGGTGCACTGCCAACACGGAAACAGCCAGATCTTGATGTGATCGAGACTGCGACGTCTCAACAGTGCCAACAGCCGTAGGGATGGGTGCTCTAACGCATCGATTCTGAACGCGTCAGGAGGCGCAATCCGAAGGATGGACAAAGCGGCCTACATGCAGAGAGCGAGGCAAGTCGCTGCACCACATATATTGTCATGCGTCGAGCCTGCCCCCGACCTCCCCCAAGTGTGGTCCGGGGTAGGCGCGGAATGTGTCGTTTCTGCATACGGATGATGTCTCAAAACGTTGGAACAGTCACAGGGATGGGGGCCACTGGGCGCCGCGGAATACGCGAGCTGATGTTTCTAGACCTAGACCGTGTGGCATGCGCGGGAGTGCCAGAAACTGAAACTACTAAGATGGTGATAATGATGATGCCGATGATAATGATGAACATCATCACCATGACCATGAACATGAACGTTATCATAACTATGATGCTCATGATGATGATGACGATGACGATGGCGCCTCGAACGTGGCAACAGTCACGGGGATGGGTCGCGGTCGCGATTCTCGTGATCGTCACCATTTAGGGTTTTCTGGATCTCGATGCTGCCGCGGGAAAAGCAGAATTGGCGCGATCGTCATGACTGTCATCGCGCCGTGAGAGCGGGGACCCAAACACAGCCACACTCACAGGTGGAAGGATTGAACAAAGCACAACCCAACACCACACGCACCTGCAGGGAGAAGGAGAAAATTGACCCCAGCATCCATTCTTCAAACTTACACGATTCGGCAAGGAAAGTGACGCGTTGACCCAAACCCGAAACCACCCACGGCACCTGGCAGTGGGGGTCCTAGACCTTGGGGGATTGGGGGAGCATGGAGGGCCGGGGAGCCGCGTCGCCACACCCCCGCTCCACTTGGTATGGCCAGGCAGGTCCCCAGACCAGGTTGCCCCATACTTAACTCCTGTCCCTTTCCTTCACGTGTTGTGCCTTTAACTCACCTAATGGTCGGATGAGAGGCCACAGGATTCACACCCCAAGCAACGCGTTTAGCAGGAGCACGATTCTGCGGCTGCAAACCACGCCAAATCGGAAGCCGCGGAATCACCGCATGCGCTGTCCTGGGGGCGCCTCCACGAGATGGCGACGTATACAGTATGGCCCCTCCTTACCCAAAGGGCCCAAAGTAGTTCCTTTTTCGGGTTCCTATATAGAATCCTATAAGGTGATCCCAAAAGGAACTACTTTGGGGTTCCTGGGTAGCCTGCACGCAGGAACCCCATGATTAGTGCTGCCGCATTGTTCGGGAACAACATCACTCTACGTTGAACATCTTCTGGCAGAAGTGGACCCGAAGCTCAACCTCCCAAGAAGCCCTTAACGGGCAGTGTTGAGATCTTTACCGCATGCTTGGTACTCCCTGCAGGGCTCCCAGCAGCCCGAAATCCTCCTCAGGGCTCCGGAACTCCAGCGTGTGCTTCACAATTCCTGAGGATGAGGGTGCAGAGGACTGTTAGATTTCACCCGGGCGGAGGTCGCAGCTTAAGGCAACTACGAGCTTCTAAAGCTGAGCGGCTGCCATTCCATGGGTCGAGCTCGTAGACAGAATTTAGGTCCACGATTCGCTCGGAGGGTTCGCTTGCTGCCTCTTGAGACGAGGCCCACTCTTCAGCTTGGCCAAGGAAGTTGCTGCCTGCCTGAAAAAGGTCTGTCTTACCCCAAGGCGCATTCTGAAAATTCTGAAGGGCTCCTCGTGCCGCTTGCACCGCACTGCGGGCCTGCTCCTTGCCCAACACATCTCTGGGTATCATGACGAGGCGCCAGCGAACGCGCAGGTATAAGCCAGAGTGCACCACATTTGTAACCTCACTTCTTGCAGAAGTGCTGATTAGCTCGGTGCCTTGACGAAAGTTGTCCCAGAACTGGCCGTACTGCAGTGAACCGACAAAGCGCAGCCCGCTTAGCTGAGCAATCTCCAGTGAGATCCCAGGGTCAGCCACACTGGCTCCCGGTGCGATTCCCGGCAGGCGCGCATGGTCGCTTCGAACGGTGTCTATCGCTTGGCCAACGTTGGCCGCGAAGTTTGGGTCCACCTGTGCCCGACGTACAGTCAAGTGGCCTCCAGAACGATGGCCGTGGCTTTCTGCTCCCGGTACTGGGGAGCCCACCCCGGTCGTAAAGACTTGCACAAACCGTGGCCTCGCACATTGGTTGTGCGCGAACCAAACGAGGCATAGGACAGCAAGCTTGCAGAGTCTACCGCGCAAGTTCTGCGACATCTGCAGCGGCCACAACTGAGCCGTGAAGGAACGACTCGATCGCTAGTCTGTTCCTGTCTTGCAAAGGCTAGGCCGGCTAGGCTTTCTCCATAAACCCGAGGATGTACTGAGAGAAGAGTCTGTCAAATTACGATGCTGCTCCCATCAGTCTTAGTTTGCTAACATCCCACTTGCTCCATCTCATTCGCTGGATCTGAAGTCCAGATGACTCATGATTTTCATGGCTACAGAAAGGTAGGCAGCTCCGGACGCAGAAGTAAGCTCGACGAGCTGGGCATGCTCGGCCGTGGGCTTAGATGGCTTAGGGCTGGGGGGTGTTCTTTTAAAATGCGCTCGTTCTTGCACGACGGCACCTGGATGCCCTCCCAGGGTCCCACGTTCCATCCTGTACAATCATCGATGAAGCACCTCGAAACCTTATGGTTGAGGCCCCACTAGCACTAGCCTTGCAAACTGCGTCGCCCTGCATTCTGACCGGTGCGCGAGCAAACTCTTCCTCTCGTGACCTATGTGACCTCAGATCCGAAGGGCACCCGCAGCCTGCTGATGATTTGAATGCATGCTGCATGCATGGACGCTGCGCATCTTAGATGCTCGCAACGACAGCTGTCAGATATTCAGCCCCACTGGGCCTCTAATACGTTAAAACTTGAAGGTCTTCAATGTCTGCCACACGATGGTGTCACGGCCGCCACTGCCTGCAAGGTGAAGGACTCGTGCCAGCCAGATGTTGTCTCAAAGGCTACGAATACGCCCAGGACGTGCAGGAAGGGCAATGCGCCTGTTGACCAGGTCTTCCCCTTAGGAATGCCAAGCTCAGGTATGGTTGGTTGAATTGGTTGAGCCAGCTGTGGCGACGACCAATGGTGGCTGCAAAGAACTGCGTGCGCATCTCCTGGTCATGCACCTTTCCGGGCAGACTGAACGGTCTGTGATCCTCAGCGTCTCTTCTCTGATCCTCGCATGCCTGATGGAGGATGTGCTCTGCCCATCTATCGGGGTCCGCGTGCCGTGGCAACGGCTTCGGATGTGGCCTGCAGAATGAACCACACGTGACTAATCTCTGACCTTGCTTCCACTCTGCCAAGCTGCATCAGGTTCGGCATGAGCACATCCCAACCTGGACCAGCTTTGAGCTTTGCAGCTGCTTCGTTTCCTGACTTCTGGTGAGCCCTCCTATATCGGCCGAGCTCCCGGCCATATTTGCGAGTAACGTGCACGGACTTCAGCAGCTGTGAGTACTCTTCAGACAGATGCTCCCTCGGTGCGAGCTGAAGAGCATCAGTGTCTGAGGTGCTGCACTGAGTTTCGCAGACAGTTCCCACAAGCTGCTATCCGAGGCACTGAATCGCCTTCAGGAGGGCGCTGGGTAGCAGCCGCATGTCCGAAGCTTTCACGAACCAAACCTGGCGGAGCCGGAGCCGGGGGGAATCCCGGAACAGGTCCAGGGTTTGAGGAGAGACATGCGTTGGGGCCTCGCACGTGGTGGCCGCCACCGCCGAAAGAGGCTCCAGTGCATTGATCCAGGACCCAAACCTTTCGATCTGGCGCAACCCGAGACTGTGACAACCGCCTTTGCTGCACTCGCAAGCCGCAAGCCGCAAGCAAGCTCACAAGCTTGGCGTCGCGCAGTTGCCCAGGAAGCAGCGTTTGACAAGTTTCAGCTCCAGAGTCCTGCACGTTTCCAGGTGGTGTGTACGAAGAAGGTAAGATCCGAGGAAAGACAATCGTCAGCCCGTCAGCCTTCTCTTTCTTCAGATGTACATTGCCTGACAAGTGGAGTCAAGGAATTCTGGCTATGCTGAAGACTAGACCACAGTCCCTGCTGCACCTCTGTAGATCACATAGATCACTCGCGAATCCTTTGAGAAACAGGGCTGTTGTCCCATGCTTGACTTGCTCAGGCTCCACTTACCAGGTCCGCGGCTTTTTCGCCCTGCTTCAAAAAAATGAAGTCCTGGCTAATCAGAAGCCGAGCATCTACATCGCTCGACTTTGCTTCTCGTGGTGCTGATCACTGCGGGTCCTGATCGACCTTCAATTTGTTGAAGAAGAAGCTGGGATGTGGAGGATCATTGGGGCCTTCCGCACGGCTGCTCGATGGCAACAGCTTGATCGTGGCAGCGACAGCCCTCTTCGACGCACGTGCAGCGTGCGATGGGGCTTTAGATCTGCCATGATCTGGCATCTGCTCTGACTGGCTGCATTCTTCCGGCCTGGCTCCGGAAAAGCCTCGCAGCTTCGAGGAAAATCGAGTCAGGGTTCTGCTGGAAACGGCCAATGCCAAGTCTGAGTCTTAGTGCCTTCATGCCCGGGACGAAGCGGTTCAGAAACTTCTTCTTTGCCTTCCGAAGGCAGCAAGCCCGGCACACTCCCTTTTGCGAGTTCTCCCAAGCCCGCCCGGGCCCCCAGCCTCCTGAAGCTGAATCAGGCGATCCTCTCAAAGTGAGGGAAAGCGAAGGAAAGCAAAGGAAGCTCTCACGTCCTTGCCTTGGCAATCTTGAAGGCGCTCGCGGGCAACAGCAGGAACTCACCTGAAAAGACGATTCGACACTGCAAGTCTGGCGCTCACGAGGTGCAAATGCATTTGCGTCCTGCTCTGCAGAGCTCAAGATGCTCAAGTCAACAGTGACCGTGTGTGATCATGGTTCCGTCAAGGTGCAGTTCGTCAGGCAGGTGGCAGCTGCCTTGGGCTGCGCGGCGCGCGCATGGCTTGAGCCCTCCATCTCCAACTTACTCCTCCCAGCCCTCGCGTCGAAGCCGGCCTTTCTGGTGGCGTCCTTGTGCATCAGGGCCAGCCTCGGTTGAGCCGGGCCACCGGCCACCGGTCATCCGCATCTGCTTGCGCCCTTCAGTCTTGGCCCAAGTGGCTCGCCGAAGACCGCGCCGCTCCGCGCCTTGCCGACACACTTCCCCAAGTCGCTTTGCAGGGACACCGTGCTGACACCGTCCAGCGTCCTCACCTCAGCTTCTGCCTCCCTTCTCGCCTTCGTCTTTCGGCCCTTCAAGGCGATGAGGTGCGAGCTCGAGCCGACTCTTCCCAGGGCAGCGGAACATGCCTCGAGCTGCTTCACTCGAGAGAAGCAATTCTCCTGATTCACAGTTCTGCCAAAGTTCACATCCTCAAAGCCCACGCTGACTGGCAATCGTGGGGTATCTTGATTTCCTGGACCTGGGTGTGTGGCTCCGAAATGCTCCGAAGAAATGGACGGGCTACAACTGAAGCATAGGCAGGCCAGAAATGCCTCCGTAGATACGTGTACACGATACGCCCTAAAGTGCCACTGTAAACCAAAAGCCCGCGGCCTATGAAGAACGCCACCTCCCAGCAGCCACCGAATGCATGTATGATCCATCTAATAGTGGATCTGCGATGCAACGTACAATGCAGACTGGAGCAGCCAAACCGCTGGCCTCACCCCTGACGATCAGCCAGCAATGGGCCTGGGCAGAGGGGGAAGGGGCAGACCAAGAGCCCCCAGGCAGCGGCCCACACCACCATGTACAGTGGTTACCATCTTGGTATGAACCTTGATAGCATTCATCTTGATATGCATATTGTAATATGAAGGATAGAGGAAATACTCGTAATACTAAAATAGAGTACAATAGAATATATAATTACTAGTGTAGAGTGGGAAAGACTCAGCAAGAAAAAATACCATAACATAATACAATGTAGTCTCATTTAACCTAATCTAACCTACTCTAATGAAACCTAACCGAGTATGCTATGGCGTGATATGGCATGATATGACAGGAAATGACAATAAATGTAATGTGATATGTAAAAAGGTAGAACGTGACGTGGTGCAACATAACATGAAATCCCATGACTCATGACACCATAAGAGATACTATCTAGCATAATAAAACGCAACTAGGGCAGCATATTATCAAAGAGAGCGAAAGAACATGATAGAAAACATAAGATATCAACAACATGAACATAATGAATGTTGGGCACTAGACTGCAACATGTAAACCTGTTCATTCATATAATAATGTTCATACAATTATATGGACATGTCATATGTCATATATGATCGAATATGGAATACAGAATGCAGAACACCGAATATACACTAATCTGTTCCTACCCCGGCGCAACAGAACCACCGGAGGGTGTAGACTCACTATGGTCGCTCGGTGTCCTGCTGGAGGATCGCCCTGGCGGAAGACGACGGCACCCTTCGGGGCCTGCAAGGAGGGGGTCTTGCACGCTGCCTGGCTCATGACCGTCCCCTCCGGTCCCATCCTCCATGAAGGAAGCCATCCGAGGAAGCTCCGCCAAGACTTCGGGTTCCAGACTTCTGAAGAAGTTGCTGCGCTGCCTTGGGCAGCGATAGACGATAGACGGTCCCAGGAAGCGAACAAAAAGCTGAGTAAGCCTAAGAAGCCTAAGCCTGGGACAGCAAGGCAAAGGCTCGCTCCTCTTCCTCGGTTGTGATCGCCTCGCGCTCGAGCTCGTGTACCATAGTGGCCTCCTGGAGGTGACTGATCCGACGATCGTAGACCCATCACAGGTCGGAATGTCTCTCCCCTCTCTGCACGACCGTCACAAAGCCCCGAGTCTTGCACCTGCTTGGCCTCGTTGTCTCTGTCCGTCGAGCTCCGCCGGTGTTGGACGGGGACCGTTTCGAAGCCTCGTCTCGGCTGCACTTCCCGACGGGTCAAGTACCGACAGGTGAGGCTGCCACTCCGCACTATCGGCACCGCTCCTGCAAAGGCGTTTCTAGCGATGGCCAGGCTTCCACCAACTTTCAATGCTTTCCATCTTCTTGCAGTTACGCCAAAGCTCCCAAGTCCTGCATTGGTCCAAGCCTCTCAGACATTCGGAATCGCTGCAAGAGGCAGCCCCTTCGGACTTGGGACCCCGGCTTTACCGGGCTGCTTGGAGCCACTGCGCGACTGGCCAAACTGGGGCCTGGCGCCACGGCAACAGCGCAAACAGGCAGCTCATTTGTGGTCTAAGTTCTTGCGAGTTCTTGTGTAGGCCTCTGTTGCACTTGGAATTACTGTCGCAACACCGTCTCTGGAGGGCATGCTGGCAACATGAGGCTGGCACGGAGACAACGTCCAGGTGCCAAGGGCCTCCGAGGTTTGAAGGAGAATGCCACGACATGGGCAACATCTTTTTTCGAATCATACACTGATCCACTCACAGGTACACCGCACTCCGTGCCGGGGACTATGTGTGGTGCGCCGGTGTGTCCGACAATCGTCAAACCCATTACACCCATTACCACGATCTCAAGTGCATTACATGACGAGTCGAGTGATGCTTGTGGCCATGCCCGAGTTCGAGCTCTCAAGGTGTGGCATTGCCATCCAATGCGGATCCAGATCCAGTTTTTCTTCCGGATCCATTTGGAAGTTGTGGCGAACAGGCACTTCGGTGATGGCGTTGGTGCGTGTATCTTCTTCTTGAGCAATCATCTGGTGAGCCTCTGCAAGGGCCAGACCCGTGACCTTCTTCTCTCAAAGCATGCGCCGCAGCGTGTCCAGAAACGAGCTTGAGAGTGCCAGCCGTGCATCCGGAAGCCAGGCTCATACCGTCCACACAATGAGTCGTTGCCGCAGCGATCAACGTCACTCCGTTGAAAGTCGTTGCGAGGATGATAGCTCTGCTTGTTTCAGGTTGTCTGGCTCCGACTACTTCCTTCGCGACTTACTCCACTCTACATATCTACAAAGCTCAGGCGTGCACTTCATTTGGAAGGATTTCTTCGGAAGCGCGGCCTTGTTTCGCGCTTTTGCCCTTGTGCCTTTCTTGGAAGGGTGACGCCGGCGATTGCTCTGCCGAAGCCCAGTCATTGCCAGTTCGCACTCTCCAGCGTCCAACATTTTGACATCGTCGGCCAGGGCTTGCGCTGCCAAAGCAATTTCATTCTCAGCCGCTGGGAAGAGCGCCGAATGCCAAAAGCTCGGCGCGCTGATTAATTACTGGTTTGTGTTTGCCTGTGCATAGAGTGGATGTGCTGGTGAAGAAGGCCATGCAACGGAAAGAAACGCAAGGATGGTTTCAGCGCCGACCGGAGGCCACGATTATACCCATGGTTAAACACATGCTCTGACACAAGGCAAGCAGGTGTCCAGGTGCTGTGTGCAACGGAGCATATGAAAGAGTCTCGAAGCAGTGGGCCGACACGATGTGGCATGAGTACTCAAATACGCTATATGGTCGCCCGTCGGACGCTTCCCCCCCCCACCCCCCATTGCTGGTGCCTTGGAGAAGTTCATGGAGCCGGTGCTTCGGGATCCTGGGAGCTTTCAGACTTTGGGGATCTTTCACTGACTGACTGACTCATCCCAAGCCCAAGCAGCCTGTCAGCACATCTTGGTCTTGCAGCTTCCTCGTTCCCCTTTTCCCAGGCCGTGTGGTGGCCTCGCAGCCCGGGGAGAAACTCAGGAGAGAGTCCTCTGAAAAAAAAGACTAAGGATTCTAAGGATGGAGGGGGCCAAGGGCCTTGACTGGATTCTGTTGATGCGGCTTCGGAAGGAGTTAAAGTTTACTCGACTGCCTTCTCTTCCCTAGGCCCTATGCCCTCCGTGCGGGCCTCAGAAGAGCAAGGGCGCAAAGATTGCAACACCGGAGCATCTGAGCGAGGCGGCTTTACCGTGCCGCTGCATGTTGCTCACTTGGGTGCCGACTCCTTCGACGAAAGCAGTCCTCCCAAGGCAACAGCACTGGCACCGTCCCGTCTGCATCAATCTTTCCGAAGCCCACTGTCCTGCGGAGTTGTGGCTGGGAACTGATGGGATTTCTTCTGCACCTCCACTAACCTTGGCGGGCAATCCGTGTCCGCTTTTGCCACAGGCGCCCGAGCTGCTGGGACGGGAATCTGCAAAAGGGGCGGGCCGGCATTGATAGTAGACTTGGTACGTGTCCTTGTGCACATAAGCGTGCAAGGACGCGACAGTGGCATTGAAAATCCCATCATCATGCTGTGTAGGGATGACGCCAGAATTTCAGCTTTCACCATGAGGCTCGGGACATTGCGGCCGCTGTTCCATGCGAACCAAGTCGCGTAGAACCGTAGAACAGATCTGGCCAAATCATAATAATTCTTATCTCGTACCGCGTAATTTCATAATTCAATATGGGCAGTTATTTCCAAGTCAACTTCACCGCGCAACCTTATTTCGTATCTCGCGTCTTATTTCTGCCTCGCAGCGAGTCTGAGGCGGGGGTGGAGGGAGGATGGGGGCAGTGAAGGGGGTGGAAAAAAGTGGCTGCCACTAATTCGTTTGGGCCTTTCGAGAGCTCCTTCCTCCGGTGCGCGCCTTTGATTTTCCGCAAGAGTATAAGCTCATTGGGGGGAACGAAGGGTGGAGGGGCCGAGCGGGTGAACCAACCTATCTGCCGCCTTCACGGAAAGAGCCTAAACCCGAACTCATTAACCCTAAGCTTTACTCATCGGGAGCACTGGGAGGTTCATGGGTAATCATAGCTGGGGTGTGTAAGAAGGATAACTGTAGTTCTTAACTGCCCACGAACCCCCAAATCCCTAAAACCATCATAGAGCCTTAACAGATCCCTGAAAAAGTGCCCTCGCCCCAGGCCCCCAGGCCCCAGGCCCCAGGCGCCAGATAGGCTGTTTTTCGGTTTTGCTCCACGCACCCGCAACCCAAGCCCCAGCCCCAGGCCCACCCAGCCCCAGACTCCAAACGCAAAACCGCCCTAACTGCGGCAGATAGGCTGTTTTTCTTTTTTGCACAACTCCAAACCCCAGCCCCAGGCCCCATGAACCTGAGGCCTGGCCCCAGCGTTTAGGCTCCAGGTGCTCTAAGCCGGACGCTTTGGGGGCTGTTCCCCACGAGCATGGCAGGGGTAAGGTTACGGACTTTAACCTTCAGGGTGCGGCGTTCTGCGCGTCCCTCCCAGACATTGGTCTGAGGAGCGGCGGTGATACCTCGCCGGAGGCGGTCCGCAGCCTCCCTGCGGCTGCGAGCCCTGGGCCGGCGCCTTCTGGTGCGGCACCAGTCCCGGAGATGCCCCTCCCGGACGTGAAGTCGGGAGAAGAGCTCTCCGCGGCGGAGCGCGCGAAGCTCGACAAGGAAGTCGAGGACGTCGCGGCTCGCATAGTACGGGTCGTACCTTCCGCCCAGAATCCCGCGGCCTTGCGGCGCACAACCTCCTTTATGGCCGCCACGTCCGCGTCCGTCAAACCCGGCCTGGTCGGCCCGGGCTCGACCTTGAGTCCGGACCAGACAAGGTCCCGGTATTCCTCGGTCCTGCGGGGATCCGAGGTCACCTTCTCGCCTGCGAGGCCGTAAACCTCTAGGTCCGCCCGGACCGAATCCCAGTCCCGGCCCCAGACCCCCCAAAAGCAATAACTGCGCCAGCACAGGCACATGGGCTGTTTTTTGGTTTTTGCACCCTTCGCAGCCCACCCTCACCAGTCACCCGCAACCCCACCCCTCGGCCGCTCCACGCTTCGTTCCCGCCAACAAACTTACTCTTGCGGAAAATTAAAGGAGCACGCCGGGATTTGAAACAACATAAGTCCTTCATCGACTTCCTTGGAGCTGGAGTTCGAGACTTCAACGAGACTTCGACGAGGACAGAATTTCACCCGCCGAAAGCCCCCTAACTGCCGCAGTTAGGGTTTTTGACTTTCTCAGGGCATTTATCGTAACAAATGGCAACATGGACCATGACAGAACCTTAGTCAGCTGTAGCCAAGTGGATTGGCATTCGCTCTTGGAACACCGAAACCCCAAGCCTAGCCCTGAAGTCAACCCCAGCCTTGCGATTTGGGGGCCCGGGTATTATTATTATTTCATACCTCGCGCCGCGCGAATTTAAGGCTATTTCAGAAACTTACCTCGCGGGGCTCGCGGGGCTCGCTGTAATTTGCCCAGACAGATCACTTTCCGCTTTTCGAGTTCGCTTAAGAGCTGCTATTGCTTAGACTAAGTGCTGCAATCGAAAACTTGAAAAACGTTGCGTAGTTGTTTGACGGATCTTGGCTGGAGCTCGGAGTTTCACAGGCACATGCGAAGTACTGGTTCTATTGGCAACTGTTGGCAGCCGAGCGCGCAGTGCGGAATTCAATGACCTAAATAAGATGGCAATCCCCACGACCGTTGCAAGTGCCTGCATCAAAGAATCGCGCTGTTTTGGTAGGTTGAGTCTGGTGTGGCACCTCACGTTCAAGTGAGACTTGACTTGCAAAAGATGCCCTGAAGCCATCAGCCAGCAGCTCCATTGAGAGACTCCACTTGAATCCCTCTTGGCCACCGAGTGCTGTCTTACAAGCACCGTGCAGAGAACTACCTGGCAGCACATGGCGCGGAACAGAATGTGAAGTCCATGTCATCTAGCAGTCGCTTAGGAATGAGACCACAAGACTACCACGAGGTGCCCTCTCAACTCTTTATGTTAGAACGGGGCTTTGCCCACAATACAACGAGAGGCCTCCAAATGAGAGGCTTCTCTACGAGGCTGCTACTGTGCACCTGAAGAGCCGATAACGTTTTTCTGAGTATACCTCCCACTCACCTTCTTGTCCTGATGGCTAGAGCGACGGCCCGTAAGGCCTGTGGAACATCAAAGGTGCACAGCAGCACAGATCATCACAGGTAGCAATATACAGGCCCGCATGCGGCTGCTGATTGCGAGCTTTCCGGCGGGAATTGCAAGCCCATGTTTCGACTACTACGTTACCAAGTCTAGTAACAGAATATCGAAGTCGCACGAGTAACTGCAGAAAACTGCAGTTCAGCCGCACTCTTGCTGAGCTGGAAGAGATTCCACATACAGCTGCGCAGGCTGCGGCTTGCATGCCACACGCTTTGCGCGGTGGTACAGGGATGACGGTGTGAGGTTCGAGTTGTCGAACAGTGACTGTGCTCGAAAGATGCAGACATTGACAGATCCAAGAATGCCACATGTGTTGACAACAGAGCCTCCGGTGAGATGAATGTAATTTACTGATCTGAACAAAGCACAACTTTGCGTACGGATATACCTGAAAGCTTTGCTGTTGCGCTTTGCAAATTCTCAGAGACGACCACCTGGAGCGTTCCGTCAAGGCCATCGCTTGGGATGGGCTGTCAGAATAGAGAGATTACATCCTGTGGCATTGACAGACACACTCCTTGGTAAGTCATGAGTGTGAAGTTCACTTAAAATTCAGGTCTGTGAAGGTTGATTTCTGTAGATCGAATTTCCATCGCGAAGTCGTTCACGATGCCTTGCCTGATTCCCGTGCTGCACACACACACACACTCTCTCTCAGACTCTTTCTATGATAAATTAAGGTCAGCACCGGCAGTAGGACAGAAAACACATTCCTGCCATGAATGATTGTAACTTCAATGTGCGTGAGCACTCCGCTCGCCGGCGCAGAATGGGCTGAACGCCTTTTTGGCCTCTTTGGCATGCAGCCGCCTTCGTCTGCAAGTTTCTACCTATCACACGCACTTCGGTGTTCTCGTTAGCATCTGCAGCCATCAAGCTGTGAGGGTCAAGAGGCTTGCGCTGTCACATTGCGGCACGGCAAGATGGCTGCACATCCACCTTGCTGTCCGCGGTAAATAACTCTTGCCAAGCAAGCTCAAAATCACGGCCAGGAGAGGCATGAACTTCTACTTCTAGAATCAACGGAGGGCTGGGACTTTCAGTTCAGCACGCCGATGCCAAACATGCTGCGCCAAACTTCAGTCATCCGAGTCCAAATATCGATGCTCTAGGCCTTACAAAATGTCCTTGTCGTGTTCTGGACACTTCGCAGCTTTATGGCGCTTTGTGGCGCTTACAGGCATACTCTACGGCTCACTCACCGGAATCCAGGCTGAAATCAAACCTGCAGTTGCATGCGCTTCATGGGCAAGTAGTGGCCTGTGCCGGATTACACGGATTGAGCCCAAAGCTTTTTCTTTCTTCTCAACTCTTCCTCCTCAGGGTCGTCCTGCAGGGATTCAGCACCAAATTGACAAGGTGAGGGAGTAAGCTCGGTGGGAAGCCTTGGTGCAGCAGAAGAGCATCACTATGACAATGAGTGGCGACAATGCCAGGACTATCTTGACCTCGGACTAGGATAGGAGCGAGTCACTGATTCTCACCATGTTGGAAGCAAGCCAGTAGTAGGAGGCTTCTGCTACTGGCAGTGGAATTCTGGGGCGCTCCGAGGGCTGCGCGCTTCGCCAGGCCAGCTCCATGCCCGCTGCTCCCGGATCCGACCAGTCCACGTCGAAGAAGCTCTTCCTCTGCGACTCGCCGGACCGGACTCTGTGAGTCAGCAGCCGACTATGTCACAAGGCGCCCAAGATCCGAACCCTTCTGTCGGACCAGCTTCTACAAGCAGCGGCAATGTGCACACAAGTGCCTGACCGCCATGCCGAGACGAGTGCCACGGAAGTGGATGAAAAGGGACCACTGAGCCACAAGCATAGAGCCGGAGGGCTCGTTCTGTGAAGGTCATCCTGCTGGGATCAACTGCCCAATGCCGATGTTCCATTGCCCGGTGGTGAAGGCAAGAGTCCCAAGCCTCTGGACCCTGCTGTGCAGCTGGGCGGCTTGCACACAAATTTCTGAGTTGCTTCGGGCCCAAATCAGCAGGGCACAGGTATTGCTTTGCTTTAGCACACCATCTCGTTCCAGCATTCGCACAATGACAGCCGGCAAGACCGCGCAGCATGGGTTCACCCTTGCTCAAGACGTCCACCTCCTGGCGACATGCACAAAAACTTTCAACTGCAGCAGACAATCCAGTCCACGGAGTGGCCCTAAACTGGCCCCAAGCCTTAAGCGGAGGCTTTACCTTTCTCATTGTCCGTATTTGGTTGATGCGAAACATCCAGCCGAATTTATCGAATGATCTGAGCATTTGTCAGCCCTCTAAAGAGCAGGCCGTGCGCGGCCCTTCGGCAACAGGTTGACAAACGCATGGGTAGGCACTGCCTGTGTGTTTCTGAGCCAGTCTTGAACTGTCGACACCGCTGCCCACCTCACCTTCACAAAATTCAAGGGTTCCTAGCTATCCTAGCTGCATCCTGCCGTATTATGCTCGGCCAGATTACGGTGGCGCTGCGCGGGTCAGTGACAGTCCTCGGAGAGGGCTTGAGGACTGTCCTCTTGCCCAAACACAGCTAGAAGCATCGCCTGCAGGTGATGTTGGCGTCTGCTGGCCTGGATGCTCAAGCATTTGCATGGCCTGTCGCTGTAGCAGCTCCTCGGACCACCTGGCAAATTCGGCTCGTGAAGATCACACTTGCGAAAACTCCGTGCAACGACACCTCCAAGCTCCTGTCGGTACGTCCTTCCACAGATGCTTTTGGAGGATCTTGGACGGGTACCCCGACATTTAGACGTGCGACTGATACTAAGCTTAAACCAAGTTCCACCTCGGGGCCATAGTATTGGCACTGGCAAGTCACCTTTGAGGATAGCATCTCGCCTGCACTGAACTGCGCAGCGATGTGTAACTTGCACAAGTCATGAAGGCAAGCTGACACGAAGCCTTGCTCGGACAGGTCCGCCCTTGCGCATTGCATCCAGGGCGGCTTCAGCTGGCGAAGTTTTCCCGGAAGCAGGCCACACAGCAGGCGGAAAGCCTGCCAAGCTCCGCAGATCAAAAGGCAAACTCTCTGCATGAGCCTGAGAAGCAATTCACACCTCGTGGTGGTCAGCCAGCTGTTGTCGCTTTACATGCATGCAATCGATGCTATACCCTGTGACAAACTCACGGCTGCCCTTGCCGCTCTCTGCCCATGCCGCGCAGTGCTTTGTCATTTGCTGTCCAAGCTCATGTCATGTATGTCATGTCAGATGTGTCGACGTATGTTCCTGCACTCATTCGAGTTGTTTCGGGAACGGCGATGGCCTGCTTTTGCAATTTTCGGTACCAGATTGCTCCAGGGGTCTGGCACGTTTAAGCGCGGAAGCATTCAGAGACCTCGTGTGCCGGCTTCCCTACTTCGAAATCTGTGGTGGCGACCAACAGAGCAATCGACCCTCCTGAAGTCACAGCTGCGTTCCTTCCTACATGCATCCGTCTCAAACTGGTGCAAGCTGCATGACTTTCTCTGACAGCTCCTCAATAATGGTGTAGGCCCCTGGGCCCAACATTGAAACTGCCAGCCCAAGGCCATTGTCTCACTGGCCCAAAACCCAAGGAAACACGAGGTGGAACCTTCAGAATCGACTACCTCAGAAGAAGCCCAAAAGTTGAAACGTTGAGTTTACAGCCAATAAGTTGTAAGCTCTTACAGTGAGCTATGTTCGTCCTATTGGTCACATGCAAGTCAGAACGTCGGAGTCCTGCCTCCCCGAAATCGTCCCGGCCCGGGAGACCAGCAACGAAGCCCCTGTCGTGTCCATCAACCAGTAAAACTGCTTGCAGTTTCTGCAGACTTCCGCAGATGTGCAGCAACAAACGGCGGAGGCCTGTCGCCAGAGTCGCGGGCTGCCACTCAAACTGGACCTCCCAGAATGGCGGACTCAGGATGGATAGCCAACACAGGATTGAGGCTCATTCATGGCAGCCGGGCCCTGCTACAAGTATTCCTCCATGCGTTTTTTCGCTTCTGAGGCTCGAGGTCTGATGCAGTGAAACGCCCTTATGACATCACCTCGTCTCAGTCCAGCACGGGCGCCTGCACAAGGAGCATCTGCCGGAAACTGGGGCCTTGCATGGCACTGACCTTCGAAAATCTTGCCTCCACTTTCTCCGCGCTGTATCCTTCCGCAACTTGGAGTTGCCGGGAACCTCAGAAAGCTGCAGCCCTCCTAAGTTTTACACCAGGAGCCTCCAAAGATCTCTCAAGCTCAAGCTCTCAGCGGTCCCAGCGGGCAACTTGAATCGGGTCGACCAGCCAGCCGCGGGTCCAAGGCGCCGCCCACCAGTGTTCGCAGCGAAAGATTGACATGTCCTGCTGGCTGCAAGTAGTACAGTAGTTCGACATCTTCTACCGAGGCTTTTCCTGGATCGATGCCAGAGCCCCTAAGTTCTTGCAAACAGCTTTGCTTTGATCGCACTGGGCAACGTGACTCTCCTCCTGGATTTTTCATGTACACACATCCCTCAGACGCTGAACCTAGCCTGTCATTTCCAGCCAGCGCCAGGCATAGCGTCGACCCAGTTCATTCGCTGATCTGGAGCAGAAATGGAGGCGGTCGCCCTCGCAAAGCCGTGTTTCAGGCTTGAAAACTCCAAGCCACGCCCTCAACAGATCGCAGATCGGAGCAGAGCATTCTGAAGCAGACAACCCTCCAAGAATCGGCTCATCGCCGCCCAAAGGTCAGAACTCACCTACGAGTACTAAGTCACTAAGCCTCCAACTCCTGGAAGATCTCAAAAGCCTTGATTCGGATACCCCATAGCGCCGTAGCTTCCTAGTCCTGGCATCTCAAAGACTCTGAGGCGGCCTTGTGCCGAAGCCCAGCGCTGGATACCAGAGATGTGTTTGGCTCTCCCTCCCCGATCTCGATGATGGCCTTGTTCACCGTTTCCTCAGAGAGCTAAAGGACTCGTCATTTCCAGCTCTGGCTCTGTTCGCTCCTTATGCAAACAAGACTCCACGAAGGCAAAGGAGTCCCCTGCCAGAAATTCCATACCCAGCTCCCCGACGATGATAGGAATATCCTGCAGCTCTCGGCTCCGAAATCGGTCCACTTGACTTGCATTTGCATTGCCAATGCTGGCGAGGGGCGGCGCAGCCGCATGCAAGGCGAAGCTGCCGCAGAGCCTCCCTCAAGCGCTGGGCATACTGAGAAGCATCCTCCTGACCTGAGCATGCGAGATTCACAACTGAAGCCACACACACCAACCCCCCCCCCACGCCCCCCGTAAACCCTGTAAGTCCCTAAGACGCCCCGAAACCCTCCCCGAACCCTTAAAAGAACACTGCGCTCTTCTTGGAGCCCCGGCTGGCGGAGTCGGACTCGCCCTGGTGCCAGAGGATGCCTCGCAGGACGCCTCCAAGAGCCCGGCCCCGCTCCACTTTGGCCACGGCGGCCTTGAACAAGTCTCCATCTGCCTCCAGGCTTGGGATGGCTTTGGGGATTTGACTTTCAAAACTTCGAGTCGCAAGAAAAGCTGCTTGGGGCTCTGCCCTCAGGTCTCATGTTATTGACAGTTGTGCTGCTCATCCTGTCGTCATGCTCTTCTCTCTTCTACTGTTCATGTTCATTGCCGTTACGATTGTTGCGGTGACTGACGGTCTGTCCATATCAATCAAAGGTATACCGCTTCGTAAGCCTAGAGTCTAGCGGGGTGAGGCGGCTTTGGCGCTATACTACAGAAAAATGCCGCACATGGATCTGCCAAGTTGCGAGCCAACGTCGGATTTCACTGCCGCCGAACGCACAGGGAAGCAATCCCACGGGTGCTGGCAGGAAATCCTCAGATCAAGTTGAGGATGAGGTCATTCGTTTATGAAAACAACAAAGGAGCAGACGAAGACTCTGCCGAAACAGTTTGGAAAGTTCACTGCTTGCCATGCAAGACAGGAACGGACGCGATGCACACAGTCGGTTTTGGCGTGGGGGAATGTAGTCATGACATGCTCGAGCAGTGAGGAGTAGAACTTGGTTACTGCTCAAGGCTCCCGGTCTGGGATGTTGCCCACAATTTCAGCGTCTGCGCATCTTCCGATGTTATGCAGGCACCCATGCGCAAAAAAGTCAAAGTCTGAGTCCTGGGCCACAACTCCCCTTGCGACGGCCAGTCCAGGTCCAACCCCAGCCTTCTCCGGCTTGTCATAATGCAAAGGGTGCTGAGCTGCCTTCCACGTGCCATCGGAACCCAAAACCAGCAATCTCTCGTCTTTCTCCTCTGGGAATTCTGGCAGTTCCCCGCGGCCCGACATGTTGCTCTGCCCAGCGAGCAGGAACATGTGTACAGGGCGCCCGCGCAAACTGGCACCATGTGCTGCCATCAGCACAGTCACCTATCTATCGAGAAAGCATGCTGGGCATGCTTGAGCGAAATCTCGCGCCACTCGGCATGCTTGAGCGAAATCTCGCGCCACTCCATGCCCTGTGACAAGCAGCAGTGCCTCGGCGCAGCTGAAGTGGTGCGGCGTTTTTTCGTCTCGCGTTTGCGAAAACGTGCGTGCCACACTTTGGACGCTCGCTCATCTGAAGTCGTTTGCATCAGACATCCAGTCACGTAACCTGCACAAGTTTTACTCCCATGTGAGATTCGCTTGGAGGCCGGGCCAGGATACTGTAAGCGGGGCCTGCTGGCGTGCTTCGTCGAGAATCACTTCCTCTTCATCTTCCGCGAGTGCCGGACTGATGTTGGCCTGGGCCACGACAAGTGAAGCCACCTCTGCCTCCCCTGCTGCTCCCTGCACGGCCTCGTCTAGAGCATCCAGCACTGTGCAATTGATGCTTTCGCAGTTATCCACCTGGGCACCTGGTAAGCTAAGCGGTCATGCACGTCGAAGAGTGCAAAGTGCTCGCACCCGGTCCCCCAGGGCCACTGCCGACGAAGAAGCACAGCGTAGCATACTGGTACAGATACCTGGCGCCGCATTCGAAGCCAGAGAGCTAGTGCCCGCGTGCCTAATTGTTGTATGGTAGCTACCCAAACGGGGCCAGCCCCCGTCTGCAAGGGCACGATTCCGGCTTGCACCGCCTTGGATACTGCACACCTGACCGGACATGAGATGATGTCTTTTGATTCAACTCTGCGGAGTGAAAGGAACAAATCCTTGCAGGAGCGCTTCAGTGACTAGGGCCACCGGGCCTGCCAACTTGAGAAGCTCGTCTTTGTCCAGGTACTGGCCAGAGTTCCGAAGCTCCAAGACTGATTCAATTTGCACCGGTCTTTGTCTTGCCTGGGTGAAGCCTGTTCTCATGCAGAGGATCGAGAGCTTCAATGCCTCGCCACTGGGCGACATCATCCTCAGAATCTGCGGATGCTGCCGCAGATCCGTTGCAACAGTGGCAAGTCGGCAGAGTGTTTTCAGCCGTGGACGTGGAGAGGTTGTAGGCCGTTCGTTGGTCCAAACCCTGGGATCCCACGAAGTACCTGCAACAAGTCAAAGCGCTGCTTTTCCACATTGACATCAGGGCGTGTCGAAGCTCACCTCGAAGCTTGCGAGCCACGGTCTATGTTCGCCACGCCGGCCTTACGTCGCTCCACAAATACATTGGCCTGGGAATCAGCCCCCGAGGTGAGTTAAGGCTGAGCGCCGCGCCTGCGACATTTGGGTGGTCACTGCCTACATGCAACAATAACAAACCTCAGAGTGTGAGGCATCCATATCTTGGTGGACGGCCTGCATCAGTCTCTTTGTCCCGCCAGCAGACAGCCTCGTGTTGGTTGGGAGATGCCACGGCCAAGCTGCAATGGAGGATGGATCATGGTGGCAGGCCCTCTGCGGCTACAGAAGCTCAGAAGAAAGGTCTCCAAAGCCTGCACCAGCCTGGCAGTTTCACGTACAACGTGCGAGGCAGTTTCACGTAGGTCAAGTCTTCGAAAACCTCTCTGCACCTGACCACCTTTAAGCTCAAGCATGGCGGGAGGACTCCGATTGGAACTGAACTATGCGGTTTTTCCTCGAAATGGGCGGATGCTGGACCAGAACGGAGCGAAGGCGGAAGCAAGACCTTGCAAGATGCCTCTCTTCCAGGCCAGCATCGATGTGAGGCAAATCCTTCGCAGACAGAAATCTCACCGGCAATCGACCAAGTCGCACCTGTCCTGCAAGCTGAAGGAGGTGCCGTCAATCGAGAACTCGCAGCGATGCGCATCCTGAGCTGACTCAGATGTATAGTTTATGTAACATACTTCCAGAGTATTTACATACATAGTACATATAAAGAATCTTGATCTTGCCGGTGTCCTCGACCAGCTGTGAGCTGACACTGTCCGTAAGGATACCTTCAAAGGTGTCCTGGCACAACTTGGAAACCCGGCTTGACAGAAGATCCCAGGTGGACGATGAGGTGGCTGGCCGGTTGCACGACTTGAAGACCTACTGAGCAACCTGTTTATGCACGATGGCAAATAACAACTAGGCAGGAAAAGCTCGTAGCAAGAGGTGTTTAGTATGTACTCTGGCAGCTTCTGCAGAATGCTTCACAAGTTGGCTTGAACAGATACGTCATGCAAACAACACAAGTGCCCCACAACATCGACCGCTACCAGCTGCCAACTATGATGTCGAAGCGACTCTGTGTTGACAACACCTGCACAGTCACTTCTCTGCTTGCTCTCCATGCCCAGCCCAGCCTGGTGCTTTCGAAGCGATTCGGGCCGGTTCGCATCACTGCAGTCCTCAACAGCACCGATGCATGTTGTGCTACTTACCCACATGCGCATGTGCGTGCTTGTGTGTATCTGATAGACAGATCCGCAGACCGATCATATGATCTGGTTTGATTCATTTTGGATTGACACTGATTGGCTTCATGTTAGTTTGACAAAAAACGGACTGAGCTGAATAAACCTGAGTGATTGAATGACTGGTTGGCTGATTCATTGATTTTCATTGATTAACCGATGGATCGATGGATGGATGTATGGATGGATGGATGGATGCATGCATGGATGGATGGATGGATGGATCCGCGGATGCATGAATGCATGGTTGCATGTATGGACGGAGGGATCGATGGGATGGGATGGCATGGCATGGGATGCATGCATGCATGCATAGACAGACAGATACTAGTAGTCCGGACATGTCACGTAGCCAGTAGCCAGACAAGGGTACAAGTAGATATAGAGAGGTATACATAGCAAGAGCATGCCCGATGAGAAGATGCAGCTGGCAAGACGTCTGAGTCTTTCCACGAAGCGTCCTCGCTAAGAAGGTGCTGCAGCATGATGAGGAACCGCAGCTGCTTGGCATTGAGCCTCAACACCGGACATCGCTGTTCAAGAGCTGCCACATCGCATGATGGACACGCAGTGCCACACGAAGCACATATCTGAGGATGCATCAGGCGGCTCCTCACTCATGAACACTCTGGATTCGTGAATCATGAATCATGGATCTACAGCACCTTCGATTCAGTCTCTGAAACTGTCCTGCATTCGGCATTCCGCTGGACGAAGGCGAGGGACTCAGCTGCGAAGTGCTGCAATCGGGCCTGGTCGGACCATCGGGATTCACGGTTCCTAGGGTTTAGGGAACCTTTTGTTTAGGGTTCCCTAAACCCTAAAACCTAAACCCGGGCGGATGCCTTGTTGGTGTAAGTGGCCCAAACATTGAATTTCTGCTGCGACGGGCTGGAACCAGAGTCCTCGTATTGCCGTTGTTCCTCAGAATGCTCAAGGAAAAGTGCTTCCTTGCTTGCTTGGAGATACCTTTGGGGTGCGAGCCGTCACGCAGCGGCTTTCAAGGTCACGGTATATGTCACTTATCACCGTCTTGGCGACCATGATGTTCCTTTGAAGGCCAAGGACCACATATTGAGCGATGGCAGGAAGGACGCAACACACCGCCTCTGAAGGATGGACTTGCTGCTGCCAACCGCCTCAAGCCGGAAGATGTCTCGAAGCTTAGCACCGTATCGGGGTATCAGGGAAACCTTGTCAGAGCTCGAGAAGGACAGCTCCGTCTCAATGTTCGGCTCGAACTCCGGCGCACTGCACTGGCCACACCTAGGAACGGGCGCGAAGTTCCTTCATAGGCAAAGCACCACAGCCCGATCTTGGCTGTGTTGACGATTATTCCTTTCGGGCGAGGACCTCACTGTGGCAAAAAAAGAAGACGTTGACAAGCTGATGGCGACAAGTGTTCTGAGGTCTAATGCTCCTCCCATTTCTGACGCCACCGTTCCCAATTGTGCGCAAAGCTCATGTTTTTGTCTGCGCCTCACGCAGCTTGTTTTCATGATTCAAGGCTACGATGGTGGGAAAGTTGGCTGCGACCCGGATTACTTCACTATGCAGAGCAATGTTGTCCCCTGCAGCCGCATTCCCTCAAACACTAGTATGGTATTCCTCCCCTGTGGTAGTGGGACTCGTATGCGTGTACAGATGGATGGATGGGATGGGCTGGAATGGAACGGGATGGGCTGAGACGGAATCGAATGGAATGGAATCTTGGTTCGTTCAGCTGGTTCGTTCGAGTTATGCATGTACGGACGACGATGAGACTCCTTTTCTGTATAATCAAACAAGCGAAAATAAAAGGGCATGTCAATATACGCATGCCTTTACACACATACATATACACATAACTACATAGTGTCTTTACGTATACATGTATATATTCATGCACTACGGCCAACGTCATGCACGAAGCCCCGAACCGACTGCTCTGACCTTCGGCCATAAGCGACATCAAGGCTCCGAGGCAGTGGCCGAGGCAGCCGCAGAACCTGCAAATGCAGGATGCCAAAGAAGCGAGAAGAGGCAGAGGCAGCGACAGCGAGAGCGAGAGAGAGGGGACAGAGACAGACGGACCGAAGGCGAACTGCGACAACCCTACAAGAAATCACCAACGTTGTCTGCCCTCTTTCGGGCATCCCTTCAGATACCAGAAGCGGGTTGGCTTTGTGCCTTGAACTCATGATCCTGGTCTCGACCGCTTTGAATCTGCACTCCACACCTGAGCACTCTTTCGTTGACGGAAGTCGCCAGGTATCGCCAAACTGGGGCCGTCACAGGCCCAGGTTGGGCTGTTGCACGGCCTTCGCTACCGACTCTTTCCTGGTCAACAGTTCCGGCTCGCTACACCGGCAAGAAGGAGAATACCCACAAAGGCGTCCACGGGCCCATGCAGAAACCGAGGTATCCGGAGGGGCCTGAGACGTGCTTTAAAAACGATTCCACAGAGGCGTTCTGACAAGGTCTTGCAACAAACCGGGCAGTAGGCTGGAGCGGCGCACGCCCATGGAGCTGCCTGCGAAGCATAAAGCGTCACAATAACACCATCTCTCGCTTTCACGCAGCTGTTGAGCCTGCCGAGTCCGTTCGTGCTGCTGTCGCTGTCGTCGTCCAAGACGTGCAGGTCACCGACTCGCCTGCAAACATCGCCACGGCCCGAGGCCATTCGTGGCTTCAGTGACTGAGCTGCCATGAGCCATCCTGCCTGCATTGCCTGCCGAACTGCGCCACAGCATGGCGACGGCAACGAAAGGCTTGTTCGGAGCACAGACACAGGGGTTAGGCAGGCCAGCTGCACCGACTGCACTAGTAGCAGAGTCAGTGTTTGGGAAGCATCTTGAGGAAAGAACGCTCCTGAGCATTCTATAGACTGGGAGTCACATGGCTCCAATGTCGTGTCACAGAGCTTTGCTTGAGCCATGTTGAGCCTGCTTCAAGCTCTTTTGAGGGACAGCAACCTGTGCAGCTGACAGAAAAGCCGTTTCAGCTGAGGCCCGCCTGGATTTTTGCCAGCCAGTGCTACGTCCTTCACATTCATCGAAGGTTTTGTAGTTCTGGCTTTCAAGGCACACTTGCACCTGCTTCTGCAGCTTGGCCACATAGCAAAGCCTGTGCCGCTCGTTCGTCCGTTTCTGGGGGAAAGGAAGGACGTGAATGCGCTACATACTCTTGGCCTTGCTGCTACATTAAACTGTCCACTGCAGGCCTCACTACCGCTATGCCGCTCACTTGTGTCATGAATAAAATGGCTATGAGAGGGATGATTTCAGTTGCTGTTGGCATTGCCAGCACTTCCGAGCCTCGGCCGCACCGTGACCGCCAGCAGCTTCGGCCTTACTGGCTTTTCACATCTCTCCACTTTGCAGCGAGCCATGGCATCGCGTGGCATCGCGTGGCTTGCAACTTCTCATTATTTCTCATTCTCTGTGAGACGGTACCTCGCTGTGCCCTGGTTGCCCTGGATATGCTCGAAAGAATGGCCCGACGGCCTGGCGTCGTCGCTGGGTAAACTCAGCATTTCCACGTTGGAGTTGGAGTGCTCAAGAGGCGCCTCGACTGTCGCCCATACCGCCTGCGTGCAGCTCCGTCCGCGCAGAGTGGGAAGCAAGGCAAAGGCAAGTGAACTTGCAGGGCTTACCTCACAGCCGGCTGCAGCATCGCCCTCGGCAGAAGTATCCTTGATCTGGAAAGGGCTTCATCTGAACATGGCTCTCGCGCCATATCCCGGTCCTTTCCGGATCCAGCAGCTGCATCGCCCTCCTGCACCGGGGTGGTGACTCTCTCCACGGCTAGGGCCAGGCAGCGCAACAGCAACACAACTGCGCCTGCAGGGGCGCAGCGGGAGGTGTGCCTGCAAAAACTGCAGTGCCGTCAGAAAGAGGCAACAAACAAACAAACGAAGCCCGCGATAGAAATTACCTCAGGGGTGGACCCTGGACAGCTTTGCGAGCTCGTGACCTGGGAGCTTCGGGGCGGCTTGTGCTCGCCGACGCCAGCCGTGATTCACAAGCTCTGAGCTGCTTTTCGGTGTTCTTGTCAAGCTCGACTATGCCGGAAGCTGGGTGAAGGCAGCGCTCTGGCCTCAATGCAGCATTTTGGGATCTGCTCCCAGACTTGCAGTTTGCTTGCAGGCACGGGGCTGGTGTTCTGAATGGCTTGCATGTAGCATCTGACGGCAACCGACGGATCCTAAGCTCAGCCAAGCTTGCCGAGATCTTCGTTTCACAGGAAATTCACAGAGTAAGTCTGAGCAAGCGCACCCTCGCGACGATCAAGCGTCGGCCCGGTGTCCATCGGGAGAGGCTGGCAAAGGTCACACCGGTACCTCGTGGATGGGAACAGGGTCTGCCGTGCGCACCTCTCACGCACGTTTTGCAATTTGTCTGCCGTGCCTGTGGGTGTCACATGGATATTCCTTTGGCGACCGCTGCAACCTGGGGCAATGTTGGTTCGGTTCCCTCGGAGAGACCACAGCAGAAGGGCCGGGGCCTGCTTGCACTAACTTCTGTCATCACCTGAGCTCAGCTACTGCGGTACTGCTCAGAGCCTGACCCTGTTATCCCTGTTATGGAGGCTGGGAAACACGCAAATTCCACCAGGAGCGAAGTGCCTCTCAGCACAGGTGCTACGTTACTTGCCAGAGGCTCGCCGCCAAGTCGAGCAGTGCTCAAGGGAACTTAAAGCCGACGTGAAGGCCTGCGCCTGCATGCAGAGTTCGATCTTCAGCAGCGGCCTCCATCGATGCTTCTGGTAACATGCCCCATCTAATTCCAGCCTTCTCGAGGGACCTCTCTGCCAGGCATGCGAAGATCGAATGGGTCCAGACGGATGTCGCACTCAAGACTTTGAGCCGCAGCTTGAAGTGAAGGAGAACTTCAATTTGAATCTAAAACCACGAGTCGCAGCAGGCGGACACACATGCACAATCTGAATCTTCGGCGCTTCCGTCCATACCACTCCAGGTGTGCAGAGCTCCATGATTTTCTCAGCGCGGTATTGAGTCTCTTGTACGGCTTCTAAGGGAGCTAGCCCGGTTCGCGTGTAGCATCGCGTCGCCCGTGAGCTCCAGCCGGTGGAGTCTTCAGATAGCAGTGTTGCGTATGACCTATGACCGTCTGCGCTTATGTCAGAGATGTTTGAAAGGTTCTGAGAGGTTGCCGTATGTTGCCATCCTTGACATGGTTTCTCACATCACCCCCAGAAGCTAATACGTTCTCTGAGGGTGCGTGCCTGCCGCGGTGGAATGAATGGTGTGAAACTGCCCAACATGGGCCAACGGTAGTCTCGAATGGAGGCCTCCGCAATCACGCCGACCTTTGACGTCAGTCTCACTGCGCAACTCGGATGTGAGCGGTAGCGGTAGACCCACCTCACATGAGAACCGAGAAGGGGCAAGCAGACCGTTGCCTAGATGCGAGGCTCGGCTACAACGGAGGAGGCACAGCTGTGCCAGCTCGCTTCAGTCCAGGCCTTGAGACTCGAGCCTCACTTGGTCATGTTTTCCGCTAGCCACTTTATTGCCTGGCCAAGGGCTCATGGCCGCTGCCGCCATATCCGTCCAACGCTCTTCGGGAGAGCCCTAGGTGCGGCCCTGCCTCCTCAACCCCATCGCCTTTGAGGGCGTCACAGGAAAAGAGTTGCCACGGCCTGCGAGGTCGACACTCCCGCTTCAGTCCAAGCTGAGAGCTGAGCACGTGGCCTGTCGGTGATGCGGTCGAGGCCTAGTGCCTGAGCCGTACAACCGTACAACGCTCTATCTCGTGCTCTGATGCTCTCTCCCCCTGCCTGCATTGTCTCCTGCGGTGGCGAGGCTGCGGGCTGATCAACCTTGTTGTTGAGGAACCTCAGTGGGCGATGAAAGAGCTGAGTCACTTCTAATTCCTCAAAGACTGGGACCCAGGCAAGATGGGCATCTTCTTCTCAGCTATTCTAGGGTCTGCGAGCATGGTTTCCAGCTCATCCTGCAACGCTTTTGCAGATGACGGCCTCCATCTCCACGGACTGAGCCTGCCTTGACGACGGCGAAACGCAGTTTGTCCGTGGAATCGATAACCACAATGATGCCCTCCACCTCACCTTCTTTAACGATGCTGCAAAGTTTCACGGCCAATCCAAAAACAATTCAAGGGCTAACAGCTTCCTCGTCTCCCTTGCAGGTAGGGCAGCTGCCATAGTAATGTTCCCACAGATTTCGATATCGACTCTGTCCAGACCTTTCTACATGTCAGTTTATGGATTGTGCAGCACGGGAGGCGCTTCGTAATCTCAGCCCGCAGCATGTCTAGCGCAGAAAAGTTAACGCCATGCTTCTGAAACTCCTCATAGCACCAAGCAACGAGAAGCCTGCAGTATGTTCCCAGCAACAGACCATGCTGAAAACGCTCAATGCGCCCCTCTGCTCCTCCGTGTTGAAACCCACGGTTGGCACCTAAGCTCCAGGACATTGCAGTCATATTGGCTGATATGAACAGTCGAAGGTGATCATAATCATGAACCATCGTCTTCGCCAGCAGTCCACAACATCATGGTCGGCACCATCTCGTCGTAAAAGATGTTGCTGTGGCTGCTGCTGCCGCACTTCATGTTGTTGTCAAGGCGTTTGCCGGAGTTGCTGCTGATACTGCTGTTAGCTTACTCGTGGCTGGGACACCTGGCTTCGAGGCACATTGTGAACCCACACACGTTCAAAAGCATCGGCATTTACAGCGCAATCCACTTACATCAACTTGCATCATGTTGCAAGCACGGCTTCGCAACGCAAAGCAGACTTGTTAGAAGCACTGCAAAACATTCTTTGCTGCATCTGCGGCAGTCTCACAAAACATGTCTTGGGAGGACAAGGTTGGCAGATTGTTGCTGGTGGGGCCACCCCCGTGCCGTGGAGTCGTGGGGAGCGTGAACGGTCATAGCGATTCAGAGCACGACCTACAATGACAAGGTCAAGCAGGGTCAGCAGGACAATCACAGCATATCAGGTCTACGGTTGTGCAATCGCTTAACATCGTCGAACCTGCATCAGGCTGGGGTCCCGGCCGTTTCCAACGTGGCCTTCTTGGGCTTCAACGCATTGAGGACAGTGGTTTTGCCTTGACGCTGCCACTAACGATTGGAAGATCGCAAACGCATGGACAGGAGCGATTCGCAATGCACCCTGTGATGATGATCACAGTGGCAGTCATCACCGTGGTCACATGACACGCCAGCCATTATGATCATAGTCGTCATAGTAGCAGTCCGTAGCATACATGTCGAGATCGCCAATTCGGGCAGTGGATCTCAAGACTCTTACACGGGCCCACCCAACCAGCCTTGCCTTGCATGCTCGGCATCACAACAGCAGCAGCGGCAGCAGCAACAGCAGCCGAAAAGTTGTTTAAGTCTGAGCTCAGGGCCGCTGTTGTCAAGTCCGACCACTACAATCCGGACCTCTTTCGGGCGCCCCTCTTTCTCAAGCTCCTTCTACCCATCCGGGAAGGCCAGCCTTCTTCTTGACCCCGAATCCACCGAAAAGTCTCTTGAAGATGCCCATGCGCACCTGAGCACAGAACAGAACAGTCTCCACGCAAGCAACCTGCAAGTGGTGAGGCCAAGGGGCTCCAGCTGCTTTCGCTTCGTGGTGCCGGTGGCAGAGATGACTCTCTGCCTAACATCCACACAACAAAACCAGGCTACCGGCTACCGTGACCAAGTTTCGAACTGAGCTTGCTGCTGGTTGGGCAGGCTCGGCTGCCAAAGCTAAGGCCGTTGAGCCAGAGACAGCAGACGCACCGACATCAGACGTGCCCCGGACCCCATCGCTTGCTTGTCTTCTCGGGCTTCCTGCGCGTGCGCGTACCGCTCCTGCAAATGCCACTCTTCTGCAAAGTCTTCTTCCTTTGTTGAAGGCGTGGGGCGTGGACTGTCTTTCGAAACCGTACCAGGGATGCTATCCTGTAATGCAGTTTCTGTTTGACGGGAAGCCTTCGCAACGAGCGTGAAACACAGCACATGTCAAGTGTTCGGGATGTAAAACAGGTTCCAAGATGTGGAAAGAATCCAGTCCAATCTGGCGAAGCGATCCAATCCACAACGAGGGAGGACATCTCAGATGGCATCCAGCACTGGGGCAGCTTGTTTTCATTTCTTCTCTCGCGAAACGGTCGAGTTTTTGACAATGACTCGTTAAAAAGGGTTGGAACGACGAAAGCGCACCGTGAGAGGATTCCCCCCTCATCCTTCGCCTTTCTCACTTCTTCTCAAGGCCGACTAAAGGCAGCCCCTGCAACTGAGATTGATCGGGTATCAAATTGCTGTCGCCATCACCACCTGTACCTAGATTGATGCCGCTGCAGAAGAAAACGACAGCAGCCACCAGCAAGACCAATCCGACGATGGGGATGATCGACTGCTTCCGGACGTTCTCCGCAATGGAGGATTTTACCTTTTCAATCCTGTCAAAGATCTTCACAAGCTTTGGATCGCTTGAGATCAGGTTTTCAGCAGCAATGACCTCTGCATCGGACCAACTCCCACAGTCTTTGAAGGAGTCGCTGGCCAAGAAGTCGATCACCCGGGATTTGCTGTCAAGCATGGAGAGCTCGGTGAGAGCATTTAGCCGATCTGGAAAGATCGTTGTCCAGTTGAGCGCATCTGACATGATGTCGGAAAGGCGGGCGCTGCGCAGTCGCTGCAAGCAGGGCCGCCAGTCCCCACCTTTGTCGGTGTCGAGCAGCAGCGTCGCCAAAACATCGGCATCCATAGCGGCTCCTGTGCTGCAGGGTTCCAGAATAACAGAATTACATGACACAGCAAGGAATGAATCTACTGTCACCTGCCATCCCCCGTATCCCTCGTCTCCTAGCTCTGCGACGTTGCTTCGGACTCCGTCCGGGACGTTTTCGGGCAGGATGGCAGAGCCAGAGACTGCTGAAAGTTGATAGATCGCTAGGAACCAGCCACGCAGCACCTCGTCCAGGACTGTGGTTCCTGCATCCGGAATCTTTTCTAGCCGGTCCAAGAGGTCAAAGAAAGCTGCGCCCTTCTCTCCGAACAGGAACTGGGCAGGTCTCTGCTCAGTCTGAGAATAATCCGACAGGGAGAAGGACGACTCCACGACTTCCGGCTCAAGCACCGTCGCCACACTGCCTCGGAGGAAGGAAGCAAGCTAAATCCTGCAGAACAGAACATGCTTGGTTTTCATACATCAGCACCGAAAGCGACGAAAACCATGCAATTATGCAAGTCCCGCAAATCTTACCAGATTCTCTCTGATAATCACTTAGTGCCTCGGCACCCAAGGAAGCCTCCGAAACCTCCGAGGGCTCCGAGCTCAACGGCGCCGAGGCCGAACTCTGCGTCTGCGCCGCGGCCAGCGCGGCTTTGGCCTCCGCGGCTGCGGCCCTCGCCTGGGCCAGCTCGAGCTCAGCCTGCAAGAGTCAGATCAGACAAGATAAGATGTAAGGTATAAGGTATAAGATGTAAGACATAAGATAAGATAACATAGATAGTTGGATGGATAGATAGAGTTCGCACTTCCGAAGTATCTGGCAGCCCTTACCTTCAGCTTCTCGATCTCTGCAGAAGAGGGCTCTGCGTCCGCATCTTGGGCATTTAATCGGATAGCCGTCCCCAGCGTCAGACTCTGGGGCATGACCTCGTACGCACTTGAATGCAGTCAGCACGAGGATTTTCTTGAGTATATTGAGTATTGACTTGCGCCTCGGGGGACGAAAGCTCTGTCACGAAGGCCCAGGCATCCCCAGCCCACTCCCAGCCCTTTGATCCGCGGTCCGTGACGGTTGCCGTTGTACAGTCTAATGCTATTCAACAATGTCCTTCGGTCAATGGTGGTGCTTCCAGGAGCCAAACGGCGGTGCCGAAAGGCCAGCATCATGAGCATCATGGGCGATTTGTCTCTTCGAAATCATAACCCCAATTCCCCGAAAGAATGATTCGTGGGGTGACCTGGTTTCCCCAGAATGCCCTGCGTATCATCAGACGCATACCCTCGCGGCTTAGCCAACAACTTAACCAAGCTTCGAGGAATCAATGCCTACCGTTTGACAAGAACCTAAAGCAAATGCGGGGATCAGTCGCTGCAACTTGCCATCGCAGCTTCGGAAACTAGGATAGTGTCCGAGTCCTGTCTGTAAGTCGTCTGCACCACACCACACGTCAAGCGTGCCGTTCAAGGGCAAAACAGTCGACAAACCTCATCCGTGGCAGCTTTGTTGTGTTCGCATTAGAGAGAGGAACTACGAAAAGACACACAGTGCAGCAGCTCGGGAAGGCGACGCTTCGGGGCTTTAGTAGCTTTGCAAATTTCGCGTCCTGAGCCGCTACTCCGCTACTTCTCGGGAGCTTTGTAACAGACTTGAGCCCATTGCGTGTCTCAGCGCAATTTGGGACGACTGCCGCCTTCCCCACAGTATCGAGCTGACTTTGAGCCGGGGCCCAGGTGTCAGTGCAGCAGAAGAGAGCCAGAAATCGGAGCGCAACCATCGCGTTTAATCGCACTCCTCTGCGATACAGCCAAGGGAGACACACACACACACAGCTAGTTGTCGCATCGCATCTTCAGGGGCTGTTTATGGCTGTTTCGGCAGTCGCATCAACCTCTCCAACTTGTCATCACCTGATAAGAACAAGATCAACACCCGAGTTGATTATGTTCCGCAAGGTGCACATTGTGGCCCCATCAACTTGACGGCTGAAAGCTTCGTGTCTTTGCCGGCAGTGACATGTCCATGCCAAAGGAACACTTTGGCTGCAGAGTATACAGATAATCCTTCACTGGAGGTTCCCTGTGGAGAAGTGTCTTCTCCAGAGCGCAATGGCCACCACGATAGCACTAGCGAGGGTCGCGGTACCAGCGGCAGGGGAAAGATCAAGAGAGCCTGGTATTCTTGGAAAGCCCGGTGTCCCTGTGATTTGACTCGGTGTATCGGCGTGCCAATCAGAACGTAGTGAAGTCCGGCCCTACCGGTAGCATCAAAAGTAAGCTCGAAGGACGATGCCCCACACCATACTTGCTCGTTGCAGGGCAGAGTGTTCACAAACGCCCTCGTGCGTTTCGAGCTTCCATGATTGGTGATATGACTGCTATTTACTCTAAACGATGGCAGCAACATCAGCAAGACATATCTGCAGCTTTGCATGCTTTGCGGGCCAGGGGACTCGAACACCTGGGACAAAAAGCACCGTTGCCGGAAGCAGATACATCGCGAGCCAACCTTAGGCACCGGTCGTGGTGAGGCACGCATGGAGTACTCACGAAACAACGGAGAGTTTGTTGAGAGTTGACACCCACTCTCTCAGGACCGTTGCCATGACAGCTTCACCGGCCTGAGCCGGCAAGCAATGTCTGTATGCCAGTCGAGTGGCATGCCAAGACTCCCAAAGTTCTCCGCCCGGGCTGACTCTGAGATTGACCGCGCCTTACTGTAGTTCAAGCTTTGACACTCACCAAAGCAATTCGAGGCAGAGGTCATCCCACTGAACTTCCTTGAGCTAAGCTTCCCATGCTGTCGCACAAGTGTTGCCCGTGGCGCCATGACTCTCGCGGCTGCCTGCGTGCCTAGCGTGCCTAGATATGAAGTGCGAAGCTTGAACTAATCTTTGCGGTTTCCAGTAGGCACTTCCCTTTGCACTTGTCCTCGGGTGTTTCAGGGCTGTGATCATTGACTTCGTGCTATCTTGTTCATATGTCTGCTCTACCTGAGCTTTTGAACTGAAGCTGCACATGGTCAAAGCAAGGGCAGCATGATGTTTCACAGCACATCCTCAGATTACATCCTGAGCCGCATAATCCATGGCATGATCTCTCTCTCTCTCTCTCTCTGTCTCTCTCTCTCTCTCTTTCTTTCTTTCTGCAGGGCGTAGGGGTCGTCCAGCGACCCTCAGGCCTTCGGCCCGCCCGGCTTACCCACTGTGTTAGTGAGTGGCCGGCCTTGGGGTTACTCCTGAGTGTGGTTACTACCTACCTGGTGTGCCCTTGGTTGTCATGCAGCAAGCCCCACCCTGTACGCTAGAACCCCCCGCATCCCGGCCTCTTCCCCGCGCCCCTGTGGCTAGCCACCAGTACAACCCGTTCCGTGGGGCTTGCTTGGTGCATGCTTTACCGTGTGGCACGTGTGGCGGTTCAGGGCAACACTGCTGACCACGAAACTAATGCAACTACATCACAATACGGTGTTCCCCTGTGGCCGAAGGTCCCCCCCCTTTTCGGGTTGGCAAAAGAAACTGTGCTGGGGTGGCTTGTCTCCCCCTATGCCTTTCCCTACGTTACTGTCCCCTATGGTTGGGGGCCGAGTTGCATGCCACGGGGCCTGTGGGGAAAGAAAACGAACGTGGCTGTGAAACAACACTCCTGCTAGACCGAGGATCAGTGCGTTCTCCCCCGTGGCATGTGACTACACGCGGGTTCGTAGTGATACGTGTTGGGGTTCCACTCTTGAGGCCTCATGCACAGCGAAACGTCGGCTAAAGACTCGACTAGCTGCCATTACAGGAGCCCCAAACCTCGGCTACTCAAGCGGTGTCCCCGTATTC